TAGCAAAAGAAATGTTCTTTCGTTTCTCTAACTTAAGTTGTTTCCCGATCAAACCATGCACATAGGGATTTGAAGATGCTAATTGATTGACCAATTTAAGAAGCAAACACTCACGAAGTCCTGAAAATGCAGCAACAGCATATTTTGAAGCCCATACACAATAAGTCAGAAAATGCGTCAAATTGCATTCCGAGGATTCAAATTAAAAAGCCATACCTGAGTGGGCGATAATCTCCTTGCTCAAATCAAATATTGTTGTCATTTGGAATTCCCCCAATTTGAATTGTCGCTTTACCTAGCAGGATGTCTACATTCTTGATTAGTTTGATATTTCACAACTATTTGAAATTCGTTTTCTGATTTAAATTTAATTGAAATCCATCAATTGCATCACACTTAAATGGCTTCGATACAAATGATTGGCAAAACATAGAAGTCGAACTATAGGAGACTGTTGATACGGTTGTTGACCATCCCATTTCTTCCCATTTCTAATGTTTTATAATCACCGTGTCAAGCCGAACGCCCAAGAACCCACAAAATTGGAGTTCTCTTCTCGTTCATAGTCAGAATATTTCCTTTAGTTGGATAATCACGGGGACTGCCTGTGTTTCTGCGTTCATTGAAGTGACTTGGCAGTCTGACCCACCTCAAGGTGATCGCGATGGCCTACCACAGCCCAGGGGTGTTTTGTTGGCTGTCGCGGAGGGTTGCGTGCACCTCCATACCAGAGGTTTACTTGACAATTAATCAACATGTTTACATTCAAGCACTTTTATTACATCGATGCTTTTGCTCTAAACAACTGCCCCTGCTTCAATTTCCAATAATTACTAGACAAAATCTTGAGAGCACGGCATAAGGATCCAAAAAACACTCGTGACGGGCAATAGGCAGTTGTAGTACTTACGAAAATGTGCTGTAAAAGAACAAAATGCGGCTTGATTGACATGCGGTTGCTGAAGTCTATTTTCGCCACTATCTCAATGAAATTGCCAATACAACATTATAGTCAAGTTATTATTTACGAATAAATTTAATCCAAATGTTGTGTGTAGTGTTTTTTGGCGGAGCTTACCACTTCTTCAAGTTTACAGCATTCAACAAATCTGTAAAGATGTGAATTCAACGCCAGTAAAGGGTACAAGGTTGTCACTAGCTCCCAAGTCTGCAATGTTTCACATGATTTCCAATGAATTTGAACAATTTCATATGACGGTATTAACAGTAAATTGATTGGAATTTTTTAAGCAGGCCATGGCTTCGCTGTGGTCCATTTGAGAAATGGGTTTCGTAAACTCAAATACTACTACACATTTCGACTCCAGCAGCGATCTCCGGGTTTTCGGGCGCATGAGTTTAACTGTCGTGTTCACGCCTGTTCTGTGCGAACTCTTGAAACCAAAGCACCCAGACGGGTTTAGCTGTAAACCTCTCTTCGAAAATGGATGGGGTGGACGGCGGTGACCCAAACACACACACACCCGGCTCGCGTGTGGTCGTTGTTTTGTGGTGAGGGACACACGACCATGATTTAAGGCAAACAACTGTTGCGAATGACTTACCATCTGGGACTCTATCGCCGTTCGTGATGGCATTAATTCGTGTGCCCTATTTTGTGCCTTTGTGGCTTGAATCATCTTTGTAAAGAAAAAAAAGCGTTACTTAGATCCATATCCTTCATTACCTATTAAATTAACACTCATTTTGCTCTACAATAAACGTTATTTCTTAACAGGTTTCACACTGCCATTGTAATAAATTAATTATGCGGTTTCTCACCTTTGACACAATATAGTATTTAGAAAAAAACTGGATACATTACACGATCATTTCTAAATGCCCTATTCGAGTGGACTGTTCTTTTAGTTTTGTGTGCACGAAAGAGAAATATGAAATAAACTAAGTTTTTTGATGTAAAAGTGACACTGACAGGTGGAAATTCGATGAATGTCTAGAAGTGATGTTTGAAGAAAGTGGCATAAACATTCGCGTTTCCCTAGTATTTCCGTCCAAAACAGAGCTATCCAGAGACCTATACTAAAGTAAAAAAGATATTTTTGAAAGTTTTAAATAATGTTCAAGTTTGATTCACAGTAATGTAAACATTGCACAAAGTGGGACAGAATTTTGGATTAATATGAAACCTCATTAGTTGGTTGTAAAATTCCTATTACCATTATTGAAAACCTTGTGTAGCTAAAGGCAATCATAATATCCTCTCCGTAAAGAACCAGCCCGTTAAAATATGGTCATTAGATATATTTAACATGTTTTGTTCGCTCTGAAGGTAAACAAAAAACAGGTGCTTTCTTTGCACAAATGAGACTTTTGATGATAAGTGTGCACAATTGTCTAAATGTAACTGTTAAAATGACTTACAGGCACAATTTGACATAAAATGTTTGAAATATATAATAAAACAGTGAAACATTTGGAATGCAAAGCAGGCTGTTGTTCAAATAGTCGAGTAACTCGCTCATCTGAAACGACAATAAAATATCAGGATTGGAAAATTAAGATCCATTACGTTCTAACTCAATGAAAGGGGACAGTTATTCATTTGAAGGTTATCTGCTCCACAGAAACCTAATGATATTTTTTGCCTCAAAATCATTTCTGCATCAACTAAAAGTTTCTTCCATTTTTGCATTTAAAAGAACTCCTAAACCCAATTTCTATGTTATTTTTTTGATTTAGTGACCTTCGACAAAATAATCTGAGGTGTCTGCATGATGGCACGTTTCGGGGACCAAGCAATCTTCGAGTTTTGTACGTTGCATTACTAAAATAGACCTCTGCATAACAGGGCTTTGCGCCCATCGAACCTCAAATCTTATTGAACAGCTAGTCGATGTATAGCACAAGGTGATTCAAGCGACAGGTTACACTTTATCGCCTGTTAAGCAAATTTAACTTTACAAATTTCAACTGTTTTTGGCTACAGTGCATTTGAAATACCGAATATGTGTGTTCAGCGATGTTGAATGAATAAGCATGGACTTGCACTTACGTTAGCCTGCACAAAAAGATATCGTGAACCTCAAATTGAGGTGGGTTAAATTTGTGAAAGATTTCGCCTGTGGTTTTTTGTTACTGCATGCTCAGCTTAAATATGCCTCCTTAATTTGATAATTTATTTTTCTCGAAACATTTTTATCGTAATTCTCGTATTTCCGCGGCTTGGCTTCTCTTAAAACCGCACATTTTTGAGTTACTTCTTTTTACGCTGTAAGCTGAGACGTAATGACTTGAATTGTTGCTGTTCTGTACGTTCCGATACAGTCACATTTATGTAATTTGCTATTCTTGTGACACAACGTGTAGATACAACTAGAAAATTGCTTGGTGTGGAATGTTTTTCAGCCGATTTTAACTTTCTTAGATACTCATAAGTGCAAAAATCCATTGATCAGGCCATAGTTTGCTGTTTTTGCGGATGCCACCTGAGGTAAATCACAGACTTGCAGCAACAGCCTCATTTCATCCTACCACTCCACCTGGACACTTAAGCGTTCCGTGAGGCTTGCCAAGCATCTAATCTTTTACCCAGGATGTTATAAGTGGGCGTGCGTGTAGCCCGCAACAATAACACCTAAGGTATCTATGCAGGGAATATACTTAATCGGATGTATAGATTGCATATCGAAGGCGGAGTCTGGGCCATAGTGCGCGTTGAATGCTTTTTTAACCTTGTTTTGTTGTTTGTTTTAAGGGTTATATAGGCAGATCATGTGCCCCATTTTGCCTGGCAACTTATGTAACAGGAGCATTGCTCTAATAAAAGCTTGTGTTGTTAATAGTGTGAATTTTTATGAACGTTTTCTTGTTTGCGTGGTAAATTTCGGCCAATAATTTCTGATCACTAACAAGACAGAAAATTATTGATTCTTTAAAGGTTAAGATGGTGAAGTTCGAAGGCTAGTTTAAAGAGTTGGCAAGCTTACCTAAGGATTTTGCCTACTGAACCCGAATCAAATGGCTTGTGGCTTCCAGAAACAATTAGTATCCATTTGGGAAAGATTCTTAGCAAACAAGATATTTTAATGTTTCCAAATGCTTTTTGTTAATTCGTCTCAGGAAATTAGATCAGAACAATATTTTCTGGATTTCTGGAACGGCGTTTCTTGATCTACCTGCATTGCAATGGATGTAAGTTTAAACATTTAAAATAGATGTTACGTTGCACATTTTTCATCAACACTACAGTCGGGAGCGAAGATCACGCAAGTAGATTCAGGAATTTCATTAGAAATGTTAAACCACATTACTTAAACATGTGTGCAGACAGACTACTTGGCAATTGTTATTTCGATACGTGTTACTTTTATATATTTTAAGAGACTTTGTTATCATAAGAATTGGCTTACTTGCAGGTGAATATTTTTTTGGAATGTTTATACTTGATGCACTTTATGCAATTTAAGTGCTTGAAGGCAAATATGATTCTAAAGGATGAGTGGCCATCCTCCCTAGCCCACTATATATTTGAAATAAGGTTTTGCCGAAAGGTGTTCTATTTTTTGAAAAAAAAATGGAATGCACCAGCAAAACCCTAGGTGGATGCAATGCATTTGTAATTATTACTAATTTAACATTTGCGGTAGGTTCCTTTGAATAGAGTTTTGGATTAATACCTCAATTTATTTACGCAGGCATTTTATGGATTACATAGAATGCCATCAATGGCAAACGGTCATTTGACAAATGATTATCTTATGCCCAACTTATAGGAATCACTTTCCCATTTACGTTTGCTATTCTTTCAATATTTGGTTTGCAACAACCACAGTGAATGTCTGTGAACAATTTATACAGACGAATAATAATGACTATACGGAAAATGTAGCATCGTTAACTTATTTAGCAGTGAGCAAAGATTCAAGTCAGCTACTTGGTGGTCCACCATTTGAAATGGTAGCAACATTTACACAGGTGTAACCGACTGTAGATCCCTCAGTGGAAACCCGCTCCAATGTGACTGTCATCTGGCGGCTGTGATGCGAATTTTCGTTGAGAGCTACCGGCAGACGGTCTTCACATCCGCCGGTATAATCTGCGATAAAATGAGTGCAGCCTTCCCTGGAGCTGCTGCAGCCGAAGTTCTTGGTCTCCTACACTGTCCCCGTAAGTGAATGCTGCCTCAAAATTTCTACCTGCTGGTTCCTGAACCTGTTCCAAGAAAAGTAGTTTTTTGGCAACCCTTCGATAAATCCCCGTGTTTTCCAAATTAAATGCTTCCGGTTTTGCAGCTCTCAGCTGTCTACTTACATTTTTATAGCCAAACAATTCAATGCCAAAAAAAGATATTTGATAAAAAGTATCCTCCCATTTCTAAGTTTGTAGGCTTGATGAATAAGGGCTCAGTTAGAAATAACGTTTGTTGAAATTTCAATTCAATCACCTTTTTTGAAAAGAAAACAAAACATGCTCTCATTTACACGACGACACTGTTTTGTCCTCAAAACCATCAATAATCTCCTCTGATATCGATGGGTAAACTACTGTCCTGCGATTTAAAGGTTAGCCTACAAAACGAACCTTTGTCGACCTTGTTTTATGACGACAAATAATCAAAATCGTCAAACTCATAAATTAGCGTGTTATAACCATTAGAAAACCAGTTACCAAAAGATTGTTAGCAGCTGATCCGATTATTCGGCTTATCCTATATGCGTTTCGCACTGTGCACGAATAATAGTAATGAAACGATAACTCTTTTCATTCACCTGTAGTGCATGCTATCTTTATTCTACCAATTTCGAGGTAGGGTTACAGCGACCTCGTGTTGGTACCCCGGTACACTTTATGCTGGCAAATGTTTACTTTTTCCAGAAAACACCCTCCCCCCTGCACCTCCAGTGTGCAAAAAGGTAATCTCGGCTAATGCCGTGTCCTCTTGTCAATCGGTTTGCAAATGCGACGCATCTGGATTCGTGTCTTGCGTAGGGAAGAACTTATACACTGTGCCATCGGATCTCCCAGAGAACATCATCAGTTTGTACGTTAGAGTATTCTATAGGCACATTTCAGTATAATGCTATTTACAATCACACACACACACGTTGGAGTTGGTAGGATGATAGAAAGATATATTCTAACTTCGGAAAGTCAAACGGTCGACGGCATTGAAAGTGCTAATTTATTATCCTGAAGCTGTTAGTTCCTTCAATTTTTTATGCTAAATGCCTTCTTCCATAACCATTTTGTTTCCAATAATTTAATAAACAACTTTTACACGAAACATGTGTTTCTAAAATGCACACCACTTTGTAGCAAAATGCTTTCAAAATCTACAGCATAACTGTGTATTTTACCTGTACCCGGAAATCGAAATAATGTAACAATTTAAGCACGTTTTTTGTATTTTTATGCAATTTGTATTTTTAGTTTCTTATTATTAAAATTAATAGAAAAAGTGGTGTTCAAGTATCTTCAAAAGATTTTATTGTTAATTTTTTTAGAAATATTGCCGACAATCGGTTGACGAGTCTGCCAAAAAAGGCCTTTTCAAAGTATTCAAGTCTCCGAAAGCTGTGAGTCTAAAGGGTGTACTTTACCATGCCTTATTTAGACGAGGAAGAAGAACAATGGCATTAATCGCAAAAGCGGCGTAAAGCTCCTAAAAGCTACAATTTCTAGTCAGCGAGTCAATCCATGGTTTTCACTGCAGCAAAGCGTTTTTTTTGTGGAATTTTCAACAAGTTGAAGGCTATCAGTGGATTGAGCCACTGAAGTGGGATGTCAATCATAATATGCGTTAGCGATTGGCATCGATGAACTTTAAATTGTGCTGAAAACTGAAATCTTCAAAGTGATAATCATGTGTAAAATTGGTTCTGTTTTGAGGCGTTTAACGCAATTTAAAAGAATTCTCATGAAGGTGTAGATCTAAAATATTGACGAGGCTGCACTTCTTGTAAGGAAATATCAAAAATTTATTCCCAGTGTTATTTTTAAGGTTTGATTGCTGAAAAACTTTTGTTTTTCTACATGCGTTTGAAACGTGTTCTTTCGTTTTTAAACTGAAAGTTTACAAACTGCATTAACACGTAAATATAAAAACAATGTCGTGCTATACATGCTAATGATGCTATACAAACTGCTGGTATTATGAGGGATTACGTATTTTCGTTCTTCAGCAACGAGTTCAAGTTATTGCATATTTTACATGCCGTTTTCAGCTCATGGTCACTGTTCCAAAAACTATTAAAGATAATGCAGTGACTGACGTGGAGTCGAGTCTCAAGTTCAATTTTAACGCAGAACAATATGACTGCTAGATATCTATTTCCTAAGGCTTCGTCAGTTTCACAGACCTCGGGCTATGTTTTCGAACTCACTCAAAAGGACATTGATGTGGATGATTACCTGAAATGCCATGCAAATGGAATTTCGCTTGCCTAAATATACTTATTTTGTAGCTAAACAGTGCAGTTTGGCTTGCCATGGAGCCGAGTCAGAGCACATGATTGGTTTTTGTTTCATCTTTTCAAAATAGTCGTTTGCAGCGAAACCCGCCTCCAGGTCGGTTGTAAAGCCAAACCACAGTAGCTGTGGATCTGCCTCTGGTATACCGTGAACTCTGTAAATTAATTCATAAATGTTCGAACACAGTGGCCCTCCAATGCCAGAGTAGGAGCTATCATAGTGCAGCCGCAGTCGATCTCTGCAGGCAAATTAATTTAGGTTGTTGTCCAACGTTTTTTATATCTTAAAATTTTTTATCGATAAACCAAAGAGTTTGACTGTGACTAAAATTATGTGGCATGGACATGCTTGCAGTAACCACTGACACCTAGTCTTTGGTTGTAGGTAACTAGACAGAGTTTTGCAGTAAGATGGTTGTGGTGGTGGCTGTCACCCTAAAACCAAACTGGAGAATCCTTAACTGAGTTTGGTTTCAGTAAATACGATACCTTTCCCACTTATTTTTTTTGTATTTGATTGTAGGAACATCGAAGGTAATAGGATCCAAGAAATTTCGCCACATGCTTTCTCTGGGCTAAATAGATTGTCGTCTTTGTGAGTTCGACATTATCTTAGGCTGGACTTAACGAAATCGTTCTTAGTGATTATCTCATTTTTTTTTCACATTATTTGTAGATACCTCACAGCGAATCGAATCCATACTCTGCTACCAAATACATTTAAAGGACTTTCCTCCCTAACTATTTTGTGAGTTTTCTCTTTTCAAATAACAGGCAGTACTTAATGACGGCCGTTTTTAACTCTCTTTGTATTTAAGATATCTTCAAAAAAATAATATTTCCTGCATTGGCGCGAGATTTTTCGATGGTCTCACAAATCTTCGAATTCTGTGAGTTACTATAATATGTTACACAAAATTATAATTTAATCTCAGTCCCTGATGGAAATGTACATTTAGTTGATGTCGAACATGTGACCATTAGGCATTTACATTTCCTGCAACGACTCCCAAGTTCACATCTCTCGCCTACTATTAAATGCATTTTAACCATAATCTATTTCTCACAAGCGTCGAAGAATAGCTGTAGCTTAGATTACACACAAGACTAACAAATAACTCAGACACACTACTAACTCAAGCACAAAAAGAAAACAGTGGACGTATTGCACATTATTACAAAGGGATGCTATTTATGTAGGCTTTCTCGTGAAAATGAGCGATGTTAAATCTGCGAATCGCTGGGTTTTGTCGTTTTGGTGTGTGGTAGTTTGGGGCATAACGATCTTTAACAATTTTATCCCCCTAGAAATCTCAGCTTTTATGCCAATTGGCGTTTTGGGAAACATCTGACCCCTTAAATGGCATACTTTGGTGGTGTCAGAGACTAAGATTCTAGTGATCATAGAAACTGGATTAAAGACGCAATACATATGTGGTAAAATGTCTTTCAGCACTTTCGTCGGTGAACTACATGCGAAAATAGTATAAGAACCTATCAGTAGAAAGTTGACTGGGCTGATCGACGGCCTATTAAGTAATTTGATAAACAACTTGCAATGCTACATAGGGATCCTACATTAAATAATACCGTTAAAATTATTCAAAATAGATCCGTAATGAGAAATGCAACCTATAGAAGTAACAGTCGCCATAAATCAACTTTCTACTTTGTGGACGTTAAATTTGTTTGCCTATAGCTCGGTTCAATTTAAGGTAACATGTAGCAGCCTAATTGCTGGACCCTTCAACTTTCCATTAGTCTTTGAAACTGTCTTACGGAAAGCTAGAAGTATATATTCTTGTGTAACAGTCGCACCTGGAAGTTGGACGGAGCCTGCGGTGTTGGATAACATTTGTTAATAACAGTCGGGAGTAAAAGGAATTTAGCACTGATGGGTGGTCTTGCTTCCCCTCTCATCTCTTTTCTAGAACATCAGCACAGTTGTCGTTCCAGGCCATATTATTCGTGGCCTCGTACGCATAGCTTATAAGTGGTTCTGGAACTCAAGAAGCCCTTTTTTGATGTCGCAGTGTATTGATTTTAAATCAAACAGGAACTATTTTTGCCTTTCTTACAATTTTAGCCACCTCTCCGATAACCTGATTGATAACATTGAAGAAGACGCCTTTGCAAATCTAAAACAGTTAAGATATTTGTAAGTTAAAACATTGAATGATTTCTCACCTTTTGCAAGATGCTAAAACAAAAAACCGCTCACAAAAGCCTACTCATCTCTCCATAACCATTTCGGTTTTGTTTTCATTTAGACAAAACACCAATGTCCCATTTTGAATCGAGTTAGAGAGTTGCCAGTTTACAAGCTCTAATAGGTTTTTTTAAAACTGTCCTTTGAATTTGAGAAAAAGATAGTAACTCTCAATTAGGGTACCTTGCGCAGTAGACGCCCAATGTTTGTTTAAATAGACACAGTTGATGTCAGAAGTCCATTGGCATTCCTTCGTTGTCACTTGAAGTCCTAGATGCTACATAATTGTGCGTAAACTTCACATCGGCTTTTAGAATTCCTTAATTTTTTTAAATGTCCCATGCAGTAGGTGACCGTTTTGAAAATAATAAATTAGGCAAAAATTATTTTTTTGAAATTACTTAGAAATCTAGAAAGTTAGAAAAAATATTATTGTCACTCAGGTTCGGAGATGGTTGAATGGAACTAGTTAACCCAATTTATTTGAAGGAAGATGCATATGAAATTTGCCCTTTGTCGTCCTTGAAAAAGCTTGTAAATTTCAAAGGCCAGATTACCAGCAACATTCCGTCGATCAGGGTATTTGAAGACTATGAGTGGATGCCTAGTAAACCAATTAAACTGTTTTCATAATCAGTTATTTGTGGATTAAGTTAGACATTACCTACGACATTGCCAGCGATATACTTCACGCCGAGTCAAGTTGTTCACGAGATTGCTGAATATGTACTTGACATTTAGAACATGATTGTTATAAATAACAAAGTTACTTGATGATATTTTCACGTTTTCTATGGCTTTTGAAACATCTTTGAGCTTTTTTAACATGGCACGTTATTATATATTGACGAAAATTCGCGACGGCCTTTGGTTGAATACGGAGTTTATTGTCTACGCAAGTGCTAAAATGCAAAAGAAGTTGAGGAAATTGTATTATTTTCAAAAAGAAATGGATTAGTTGAGTTTTACTCACCTTTTTGACATGTTTCGTGATAAAATTAATACCATGTGTCGAAATGTGGTTACGCAATTTGTCGAGTTTTTGAAGGCTGTTTTCCTAGACGTGTCTACAGATTTCGTATTGGCAATGAAACTACCCGTTGTGGCAACTTGATCAGATCTATGATTTCAGTGTAACCCGAAAAGTTACAAGTTTATCTTTTCCATGACTCTATAACGCTTCCTCTGTCAACCGATGTGCTTGATTTCAGGCTTGAGTTGTCTGATCCAGAATCAGATATTCTCGAGATACCGAATCAGTTTCCAAAAAAAGCGTCACGACTTCTTCAAATTGAAATTTACTTGTTCTTCTCACTTGGGTTGTGTCATTTGTATGAATGAAGAATTAGTGTTAATTTTTAGATTTCCTGTTTCCCTTATTCTGCTTGGTATTTAATAACTGCGATGCATTTTTTATTTTATACAATTTAAACAATTTTTTTATCGAGTTGAGACATTATTTGCATTTAAAAGTTAAATTACATTTATGACCCTCTAAATTTATCGCAAATACACAAACCTACTCAGAAACGGAAAAGTGTAAGGACGGAAAAATCTTGACAAATATTTTGTCCTCTTATTTCTGTCACATAAATCGCAAATTATTTCAAGTATAGATTAAAATTTGACTGTAATGAAACTAATGCGACACTATTTTTAGACAAAATGGTTGTATTTCGGGCGTATTTTAGGTATCTGGGAAATAATCTGCTCACTTGCGACTGCTCCCTTGCCTGGCTGCCTGGCTACCTTAAACAGACTGAGGCTGGAGAGAACCACTGGGCCACTTGCAACTCTCCCGCAGAATTGAAGGGGCAATACCTTCAAAATCTTAACCTTCAAATTTGTCGTGAGTGTAGTGTTCTCAATTTTTATTTAGCGCAAAGCTATTGTCTGTTTAGACTGCTCCAGTTTTTTTTCCAAACGCTTCTGTAGCAACCAAACCAAGGTTTTTTTTTGCATTCAGATAACAAAGTTATCCGATATTATGCAGCTGTAATTTGCTTCCATGTGCCTATTTTGCTAAATTAGCCTACGGAGCAGATTTTAGCCAAATTTATCAAGTTAGTTTTGAGCCGTAGTGAAGTATTGAAGTCACCTTTCATATAACTGTAGGCTCTATTTCCTCCAAGGACAATTGAATTTAAATAAGGACCGTTGCTACGTGTCAACATATACTATTTAAATAATGATTAGGTAGGGCGGATAAAACTGTAACCCAATGAGTATAAATCAGCAATTCACAGTTACTTTACACATTTGTGGGCTCGTAAATTTTCAGTGCGGTTTTTTGTCACATGATCTATGACCAAAGGTCGTATGAAATAAGATTATAATCATGCGGTCAAGCTTGGAAATCCTTACAGATCCCCTGCATTCATTTGAAGTCATGCTACACTTCCTATGGACGTGGAACATTACATGTTTACCTTATTGTGTTACCTAAAAGATAACCCTTGAGTTTCCATGATAAATAATTTTCTCGTCGAGGGTGGATGGTTGATATTTGATGAAAAATCAGCAAGTTTGCTACATTCAAATGATGAAATTCCCTGTGTCACAAGTCCTGTCGACGGTAGGCGGTTATAGGTTTGTTCGACAAATAAACACAAGTAAAAGGCATCGAGTCTCGATGTAAGTTTTTTCTCGGAGCTACTTTAAACGGTCTTCGTGGGTAGAAGAATGTTGCATCGATAAGTCACGGGCAGACGGACAGGAATTCAATTTGGCCAATACGGCTGCGCATGGCTGTCGGATGGCGCATGCAAACAACCGACTGATATCAATTAAGATATGTCTAGCTCGGTCCTTGTGGTAGGTCGTGCGCGTTTCGCCATCACACTTGTCATTGTGCCGACATTTTGGGCGCGTGGACATTCACACAGCACCCCACGTGCTTGCAGCCTGTCTACCGCCAAGTCCATTTTAATTTATGAAAGCAAGGTACTCATGCCTCTTTACTTTAACTTGTTGTGGCATGGTGTAGCGGGAAATAAGATCCGTTTCATTTCATATATTGCTGCTTGGAATGCTGAAACGTCCAAGTTAGGGTATTTGTGATTTGCTGCTAACCCAAGCTATACCAGAGAGAAACTAGTGTAGTCAAGCGATTAAAAATGCTCCTTGACTAAACCGTGCTTTTGAGGCCCAAGTCAAGTCACTCTAACAGATATCTTCACTGTTATTGCATTCGAATAATGAGCACTTTAATAAATTTTAGCTCCAAGCTCGAATAAACGTCAATGCAAGGGAGTTGCTAGTCAGCATCACCACTCCCTGCCACAACGGGACTTGGATGTCGCTCGTGGCTGTCCCAAGGCCTGTGCATGCGTTCAGATCCCCAATCGTGTTCATAGATCGGCCGATGACGTAATCACATTCACGGCCATTCGTCCAAGCATCACTGAAATTCTAGAACCAAGTCTCAAAATAACGTGTTCAAATGCAGGGTTAACCAGGTTTCCAGTGGACATTCCAGAAAATACAAAAGAACTGTAAGGAGAAGACGCAGAATTTTTTTATAGCTCTGTTCATTTTCAGTTAGTCCTATCATTTATCTTTTTTAGGTACTTGGATCACAACTCAATCCAGGATTTAAATCAACGAAACTTTTTGTATCTGCAAAAATTAGAGGTTCTGTAAGTTAAACCATGCGATTAAATAATCCTTCAGGTCGCTTCATCATAATCAGATCACATACATTTCTAATGACGCATTCGCCAATCTACCGAGGCTTAAAGTACTGTAAGTTCACTACTTTATCAAACACAAGTGTAGGCTGCTTCATTCCAATCACATTCAGTGCATTGGAGCTTCTGCTTTTGACATTAGAACACTGAAGCTCATGTAAGCAAACTCTTTTTGCTGTTTTAGATTTTATGCTTTTGTGTTGAACACAAATGACTTCGTGGTCATGGTCGTCTGAGGTTGCTCTCAACTACCTTTTACTAAATTAACCTCATGCAACATGTCAAGAGCACATCCGTGACTAGGAACGGTTGCCTTTCTAAATCACTAATGGACAACACAGTGCAATTTGATTACTTGTTTGTCGGTGATCAAGGTGTCTAAAACCGCGTTGTCCCACCATTCCTAATCTCGTATGTAGTTTTGTATGCAGTGCATGGTGCAAGATTTGAGAATTTTATATCATAACCTTTGTGAGGAGAATACCAGTTAAGTTTTGGTTTGCTCCATACTCAGGGCGCATATAAATTGGCATTTGTCGTCTGCAGTAAATGTACCTACCATAAATTGTTAGTAGAACTAGAAAAAGTACGTTGCTTTACATGGTTGTGTACCACTCGCTTGAATAACCATAATTTGATGATTATTCTAACCTTGTGCTTGATAAACAGCAAGAAATGGGAAGTATCATCCATGGTTTCTTTTCAGTGCTTGGCTTACACAAAGGTAGAAGGATTCGGTATTTTCACATTTCTTGTTTATAAGACTCACTTAAATGGCTCACTTGATCCCTATGTACCCTTACAGAAGCTTTGACGAGAACCCATTAAGGTGCAGTGAGGAGATGTCGTGGCTGCCCGGATGGATGCATCGAAACGAGGCGCTTGTGATGCAGTCCTCCTCAGTCCCCAAGTGTGCTGGTCCTGCACATCTCCAGGGCAGTCCAATTGCAAGTCTGATAGCCAGTGACTTCCGCTGCTCCCACCAGAATTCGACAAACAGTTCCTGTGAAAAGGGCTGTTTTCCTTCTAAAGGTAAATGCAGAAGTATAATTTACCTCAATTTTTTGACAGAAGCTCTTATGTATTTTTAGAGCAGTAACCTCATGCAAGTTGAGTGAAGTTGGGAGCAGTTTAAAAAAAGAATCCAAAAAGCAACCTTTTTGGCTGTTTTGATGTGCCGGACTTAGTTGCAACGGACTTTTTATTTACTGGTGATTATTAAAACAAAAAAGTGAAGTAAAATAACGCTCTTGTTTAATCAGACATAACATGACCTATTACCACGCCGTTTTAACCTTCCATGCTGGTTTTATCTCTGACCAGACAATTGTAAATATGTTTTGAAGTGATGTGACATTTAATTGAAACAGACATGATTTTTTATTCTACCAAAAACTCACAAGAGAAAGCTCAATTGTTAAATATCGTCGCAACTGTTTAGTAACTGGTTTCCGACCATGTGAACTCTGTCCCAGAAAAGTGCGCATCTGTTTACTACATGGTAGTATCATCGCTCGCACCATTAATCATTTATAATTTAATGAAGGTAAATTAACAGTCCCTTTATCTGGGTCTGGTTTCTAAGACCAAGTTTTATTATTATCATCAGGAGACTTTCCTTTCAGTGACCGCGACGACTGCACACTGCCCAGATGCATGCACATGCAAGGGACAACGAGTTGATTGTTCTGGGAAAGGTTTAAGTGAAGTTCCAAAGGATTTGCCAGTGAATACCAAAGATTTGTAAGTATTATCTTTTAGTGGTTTACATCCTCTAAATAAATATAACTGATACGCTTTCCTTTTTGTAGGTTTTTAGAACATAATAACATTCGAAGGATTGATCCTGAACGTCTTTATCATTTGAAGCATCTTGAGACTTTGTAGGTTTATGCGTTGTAACTAAACAACTGATTATTTTAGACTTCTTAGCCACAACGCCATTCTTGAGCTGCACTCAGGAACTTTCAAGCACCTACACAATCTCAAGTCTCTGTGCGTCAAAATCGAAAGTTTGGGATTAATTACCATATACAAGGCTATTTGAAATAATGAATTGTACATTTTAGGTTACTAAGCAGCAACGGATTGAGATGCATACATCCAGACGCCTTTGTTGGTTTGAAGAAGTTGAGAGTCCTGTAAGTTCTTTCATTGAGACTAGAAGATGGAATAGGCAGTCTAGGTCATATTTCGAGACGCTGATAATAAAGCGATTCGGTTGAGGCGCATGTGCCTGATTGTAAGCATTAGTGCCTCATATTTTACCTTAAATAATAAGCTATGTCATTAAAAAACAAGGCTTAGTGTTTTGAAATATTTTAATTCTGACTATTTAACCGGAATCTGGTCTGAAATTTATCCCACATTTGGGTAAACCTCCACATCGACATTAAATCAATTCTCCATATTGAATCCGGGTCTACCTGCCAAGGTTCTAGCACTTTCTCCTCTTTTTGTTTCGTGACATGAATAGTGGCTCTTTCATACATTTCTGTTGTACATAATACACATTTGGTTAATTTACTTTAATTCTACTTTCAAGGAAGTTAATTGGCACGCCTTTTATTCCCGTCTAGAATACTGCAGAACAACGCCATCTCCACACTGGCAAATAGTACCTTCCGGGATTTGGGACGGATCAATAATCTGTACGCATTCGATGCTACTAATCAACTACTCTTCATCTAAATGTTTAACTTATGCTCATTTTCAGAGCACTTGGCCAGAATCCGTTACACTGTGATTGCAACTTACGTTGGTTGAATGACTTCTTCAAACTAAAGTACCTGGACAATGGAGTTTCTCTTTGTGCTAGTCCACACAAGCTGAAGCTTAAATCGATTTTCCATTTGAGTCCCAGTAACTTCACCTGTACCGAAAAACGAGGCTTCAGGGACACTGAAAAAGCACTGAAACAAATCAACCAAGATGAAGATTCTGAAATTGTCGCAAAATGCAATCCCTGTGCTCACAACCCTTGTCAAAACAACGGGAAATGTGAGCCGATCTCTGGCGTTGAATTCAAGTGCAAATGTGAAGCGCCATTTTATGGGGAACGGTGCGAGCAAGAGATGGATGCCTGTTTTGGAAAACCTTGCAAAAATGGTGGCACATGTAAACTTACCAATGACCGGGGTCACTACAGGTACGTAGCAATGTTTTATTGGTGCTTCGACATCCATAACAAGGTTCCTGGAATTACACCCTCCTACTTAGTGTGAAGTGAAGCCTACAACTTGATAATTTGTATTAATATTCGTAATGCTGGAATGTTGCATTTTGCACATGATTTAGGTATAATATGTGTATTATTACAAAATGAGAAGTCAGGTTTTCTTAATCCATGGACTGTGGCCGCACAGACTACGGCAAGCATCATGAAATTCTGCTACCAACTCAGACAAGTTTAAGCCTCTTCGGCTAGGGCACCCCACCTGATAGATTTGCTGCATCGACAATCTTTCAATCCATGAATTTTGTAAAAGCCTGCGTTGTTTTCCTAAACATGCTGCAGTAGTGATAGTCTTGCATATTGATTAGTTAAAAAATTTGAACAAAAAGTGCAATTAAGCTTACAACTCAAGCGTCTTTTCCATTTCGAACCCTGAACGTGTGTGCGTGTGAGTGTGTTGAGAAAATCTGGTAGCGCCGTCAACCACGACCACATCATTGTGTAATCGTTGCCATCCATTATTGCGCCTGTTACTGCTAGACTATTTATCTTCCAAAAACGACATGAGGCACATTAACAACCAAAAATATTTTGTCAGTCGTAAATGGTAGCGGGCGAATAAGCATAAATCAAGGCGAAGTTTTATAAACGATGAATTTTGTGTGCAGTTTTTTGGGTACAGTGACTATTTATTCTAGCATTTGCTTTTTCTTAAAAAATAAAAAAATTCGATAGAACCGAGGTTTAATGCACAATGTGTATAAAGATTTCTAAAGAATTCAGAAATACTTCTATGATGGTTGTCTCACTGAAATCTTATGTAGCAGTTTCAAAAGGATCTCACTTTTTGCACTCTTCTTTAATTGTAAATGCCATGATTTGGCTTAGTCTTTGGCATTTCAAACCATTTGGTTATGTTGAAATGCGTATAACAGCTTATGATCACATTAAAAATTCAGAAGAGGCATTCTATGAATTTGGGCATGAAATGCAAATCTAATTTAATTCTCATGAGCTGGGGTTGAGCCAGACAAAAGTTTAGTTCTTAACATACAATTTTTAAATCGTTTTATATGAATGCTGTTCCATTGGTTTGTGCTTTGATAGTAATGTTACTGTGAGGAATCAAGCTCAACCTTGTAACCTCATTCTATGTAATTCCACAAGTCTACAACCCACAATGGCTTTGTTCTGGTTCTATAACAAATTATAACTTGATATTAACCCAAGTTTGTACTCAAGCAATTTTTAGACTTATTTGCTTGTATTTGGATTGCCTCAAAGTGTGTTAATTTATCGCAGTTCTGGGCAAACATGCTACTTACATTAATAGATAGTCAGATATGTTGGGTCTTGTCAAGCTTCACGAACAGGCAACTTGGCTCTTCCACGTCACTTATATGCACTTTTAGGGATACACACACACAAACAAGAAAAGCTACAAGTTTAGGCGTTTAATATGGCTATGATATCTCATGCGGTCCACATTTTCCTGTTTTAGATGTGAATGCTTGCCTGGTTTCGTAGGCTTCAACTGTGAAGAAAATGTAAATGACTGTGCAGGGGTTTTGTGTGAGAATGGCGGTATTTGCGTCGATGGCGTGAACAACTACACCTGCGAATGCGCCCCAGGGTTCAGAGGTATCGGTTTTGTGGATTATTATTTATATTATCCCAGCACACCTTTGCTTTACAAAATGAATTTGTATTTAAGCATTATAGCAAATGCGTTGTTCTGTGGTCCATCCTCACAATCAAATTCGTACTCATTAGGCAAGCTTTATTTGACGTAAGATCTCAATACTGCAAATTGACTGAGTTACCGTATTGGGATAATCGCTCGCCAATGTAAGAGTAAAGTTAGTGTTGCCACATCTATGCTAATTACTCTTGGGTGTCGAAGCATATCTCCGAGTAATCAGTTCTTAAGTCCCTGCTGTATCTTAATATCCAGAAACAGCAAACGCATGGGCAGAATTAGTCTCGAGTGCTAATGTTCTGTAGAACACTTAACCATGTAGCCTAGGCAGATTTGCTAGACACTAGTTCTTTTGACATGCTGCACAATGTGTTGCTCGATTGTAATGTTATGGCTTCGGTGTGATAAGTTGATAGTTAGAAATTACGAACTGGATCATTGTTTGCATGTTGCAATTTTTAATTTAGGTTAGTTGTCTTTAAATGTTACTTTAGAAAACTCGCAGTACCTTTGCAATTTAAATGACCGAGTTGTCAGGGTAGAACTATCAGCTAAAGCAAAGTTGAGTTAAGAAATATTATTGCACACGATGTTTTTTTATAATTGTTTGTCTTTCGCTTCATCACAGGCAGGTACTGTGAGAACGTGTTCCAGTATTGTGTCGACGAAAACCCCTGCAAAAATGACGGAGTCTGTGTAATGCATAATTCCTTTGGATTTAAGTAAGTTGCATGCATTTATTAACCCGAAAAGGTGTATTTGTCCTGAGGGATGGGGTGGAGATGACTGCGCGAGAAACCTCAACGACTGCGAGTACAACAGATGTCAGAACGGCGGGGTCTGTCGCGACCACGTCGGCGGTTACACTTGCGAGTGTCGACTCGGCTTCACAGGCAAGTGCAGACCAGTCGGTTTTGAGCTGTCAACGCTCATATTAGTCTGTCAGCACTGTAGCTCTGCTGGTGCACTATAAATATCAGCAAAAAACACCCCCGGAATTCTCACCACAAACTATAAAAAGAACTAACTAAAATACTGAAGAATGTGCGTAGGTAACATTTAATTAGGAATGTGTTACGTTAGATAACAAAATGTTGCGGCGAAATAATTAATCCAATTTAATGCCACAATTGAAGATTTAGTGCAAATTTAATCGAGTACGAATAAGTTTTACAAGAGGATAGTTTGCATTTGTGCTCATCAACCGTGAATTAATGAGTTTAAAATATTCGTCATAAGGACAACAGCACGAAATATTTACGCAATGTCTTTTCAGTACAGAACACACTTTTCATCTTATGTCACAGCTGATCGTCGATATCAGGAAATAATTGAGTATTTACCTCTGGAAACCGTCATGAAATTTGGCATTAAGTTTACAGGAGCGCATTCAGTCAAAATACGCATGTAGTAATGCTGCTATATAATTAACCTTAAAATATACTGTGTTAACCTGACCTGAAAAAAGTGTTATGGAACGGCCGGTTTTATAAATCAGATATCCTGTTCAGTATCGATGGTGTCAAGTCATAGAGCTGATGAAAAAAGTAGCATGAAAACTGCCTCCTAATCGTTTTATCCTTGGCTCGATGGCCAGTAAACCATTGTGCCGCCTGACTGCGGTTTATGTCTGTCTAAAACTAGTGGTAACACGGAGCGTTAATTTGAGGAATAATAATATAAATAAATCTTAATATGCCTAACTTTGTTCCTGATAAAGTGGCTTTGTCTGGAACGGTATTTTCAGTTATAACAAAGTGACTATTTAAACATTCTTCTCATTTTATTTCAGCAAGATATTGGAAATGAAACCACTTATTACAACTCAAATGTGGTACAAAAGTTGCCTGCTGTAGTAAAAGTGCACATTGTTACTTGGGATGATAAAACGCAATTTTTTGAGACGGGCTACTTCTCCGAAATGTACCTGCCATAATTTTCAATATAGATTAAACCACCATTTTGCCAAGTGTCAACTTTGGATGAATCGATGACTTGTCGAAGTTGTATTTTCAGTATGCATTCGTCAATTTTTAATTGGATTTTGCGTTTGATGGGATGAAAATAAATATGCTACAAGGCCTACTTAACATGTACAGTGGTCTTTCTTACATGCGCCTTGAGTGAACTTTACATTAAAGTGATTTTGTAGGGCAATTAAAGCCTAGAGAAGCCGATGAAATAAACAGGGGTTTTTAGTGAAGTATGCAAGGTTTTGTACACGAGAGACGCAAGTATTGCAGCACTTTAAATAACAAATTACACATTAAGCCAGAAGTTATGGGAAGTGCTGACTTCCCATAGAAAAGCTTTTCAATCTATTCATGAATCAAACTGAAAATCGCATTCGAATTTGGATTTTTCGGATTGCAGGATTGATATCGAAACCCACCAATATAATCTTCTTGTTATTTTACTACAGGAGATCACTGTGAGGACGTCCAGGTTGCTCGAACAGCCACTATAAGAAATTCAGCATCCTTCGGCTGTGACTTTAATCGTTGTCTTAACGGCGCGACTTGTCGGACCACCTTATCTCCTCTCGGTTATAATTGTCAGTGTCCATTAGGCAAGTCAACTTCTTGTAGTGGCTTGTGATCTAAGCACTGCCTTACAATCCTCTAGTTAACAGCCCGTAACAACCCGAGAATGGAGAGGAGAGAGTCGAGAGAGAACACGACCGTTTATTAGCGTCACGCCAGCCAAGTTTGTCTTAGTGTATGTATGAGTGAACGGATGACAAGCTTCTGATGCAGTAACCAACGGAAAGGGGATAAGTCACTGTCACCGTCAGGTCGGTAAACAGGATTCACTCAGGCGCGATCGCTGCTAATCCGCTAAATTCTTAAATAACACAAAACAGCCCTAAAGGATAAAAAACGAATACATTGTTGCATAAGTTTTTCGTTCCTTAAAACACAAAGGCATTAAAATTACAATGAAGTCCACGTGGTGATCATTTCTTGCAATATACGTTGCAAACAAAAGAATTTATGGTTTGGTGTTGAACTGGTCAATATTAAGAACATTATAATGCGGTCCTGAATTATCTGCATAGAAATAAAACATCAACTTAGCAGTTCAGTTTCAATTGCACAGAAAGTGCTTTCATTTTATCTTGATTGCTACTAAAAGTATATATTCTTCATTTTAAATAGCTATTTATTCGAATTTAGAAACCCAAGATGTGTTGAGATAAACAATTTTCCCCTTTTAAATACATTAGTATTGCTTACTTATTGTAGGGTATGCTGGCACATTTTGTGAGAAAGTTCATTCGCTATCCATCACATCGAAAGATGCACACGTTTCAGTGCAGCCGCCCAGTCGTGGGTGTTTTTTTCCGCGAGGGAACATTAGTCTGGCATTTGCAACGAGTCAACAGCACGGAATCCTTCTTTACTTCACCGAATCGGAAGATGTTGGTGAATCACTTCACCGTTTCTTGGCTCTGGAGCTGTATCGGGGCTATGTGAAGATTAGTCTGGCCTTAGGAGCTGGTAACACGGCCCTTGCCTATTCCATCTCAAAGTTAAGCAATCCAATCTATTACCCGATATTTGCGCTTTTCAAACTCTACTTTTTAACGTTAACGTTGGCGTGCTTTTGCCCTTAGTTATCAGCCCATTAGTCCTAAAGGTCAATTTGCTTCCTAATTATAGTTGGCTGACGAAAAGCTCCACCGTCTTGACGTGGTGATTAAAATGGATCAGGCCGAGCTATTTGTCGACGGAATCCGAAACGCGTTAATCCAGGCTACTGTGCCGAAAACCAACTCAGACAAAAAGCCCCGCCCTCTACTTTCTGCAGCTCCAATTTACCTGGGTGGAGCTCCTCGACATCTGTTGAGAGCCGCACACCGGGCTGGACTGATAGGAGATGATGTCGGTGTCGCCAGTACGTCGTCCAACCAATCGGCTTATTTAAGCGATTTTGTGTTAACGAGCATTTGGACTTGGAATGGACCAATCAGTTTTAAATTTTTTTAAAGTACCTATTAAAATGAGACACTTTATTTTTCGTTTGGCCTAAATCTTTAATGCATTGCAATATTTACATTATGTTAGAACGCGTTTGTTACAATAGAAGCTTGCTAGTGCTCTGAACCCTAATAAAGAATGCTTTCACTTAGTGTAACACTACTTAAGTATGATAACTTTCTACTGTTATTGGTTTCCAGCGTGCGTCAAATCATTCTTCATCAATGAACAGGTGATTGATTTCTCTCCGTTAATGCACAATTTCACCGATTTGAAGGTCGGATGTGGTTTGATTAGTGCCACTGAGACATCCTTCGCTGAGCCAAATACCAAAGCTCTTCGTACACGCAGTAAATCTGTGCATGAAAGCCAACAGGAAGCCTCTACAACTACGGGGCCTGATGCACGTGATTGTAGGGACGAGGAGATGGGATGTCTCAATGGAGGTGTTTGTATTTCCGGCTTCGCACTACCAGCGGATGGACGGAGTCAGCAATGGTTGTCCCCGTCACGATATTTTTGTCGGTGTTCCAGCGGATATGAAGGAGTCAGATGTGAAAAAAGTAAATTTGTAGCAATTTTTAATTTCCTTTCAAACTCGTTTAGGCCATTCAATTTATCTTTTTACATCACCCGTTGATGTCCTGATTAAAATTAAATACTTACGCCACTCAGTTAAATGAGTGCAATTTTAGTTAAATGATCGGCCGTTCCTTATTTTAGTCGCTTACTGCAGACGGCATTCCCGATATTCCTATCTCCATGATCCCGATACTGGTTGCATATCAACACAGCGGGTTGTAATTCATTCTTGTTCGGGTTCCTGTCAAAACCCTGCCAGTACAATGCTCCTATGGCACCGTGAACAGCAACGGAAACGCCGATGGCAGAATCAGGCTCGTAGGCGTATTCGCCGTCACAGACGTCAGTGGTCACCCTCAGCACAAATGTCAGTGTCGAACAAAAACACTGGGCTTAGTCGAGTTATTCGAAGAGACCTCGAAGGGGGTCTTACCTGCTGCCAGCCAATCCGTTTCAAACAAAGGAATGTACAATTTCGCTGCCCACAGAGTAGTGGAGGACGCATGTACTCTCGGTGGTTTCGGTTTGTTAGAAAGTGTGGATGTTCCGCCAACTGTGACAGCGGACAAGCCCAAACAACTTCGTTTTGAACAGAGAGAAAAAACCTTATTACATTACAAGTTGTCTTTCGCCTCATCTATATAGTAGCATTTATTCACTGGCTCGTTAACACGTCCGCACGCACACACTCGTTGGCCTTCACTCTGCATGAGAATGTGTTGTTGCCGTTTTTACGCACTATACCTACGTACACGCATTCGCATGCAGCATATCCTTGCAAAATTTTACATGGAAACTGTTTCATCTAACTTTTGAAACTTCCTAACCTCTTCCTTCCAGTCTACTTGAAACGGACCTATTTTAATCACCTATAAGAAAATAAAAGACTTTAAATTCGAAAAATGCACGAACTCAAGTTTGGGAGGGCAGGTCTTTATGGCCTCTTACAATTGCCAGCTCCTCTCCGCTTCCAACTTTTTTACCCAGATTTCATGAAGACCAATCAGTGCAAATTGATCTTCTTTCAAATGAGTGCGATCCTGGCGACAAATATATCAGAAAGGCTGAACAGGACACATCAGGTGCAGTTTTAGGCTAGTGTATGTGATTTAACCAGTGATTTGTGGGTCAATGATAAATGAAAAAGTAGCCATCGGAGTGCTCTCAAGTCGCTAAATTTCTCACGCCAAATTGTCGATCTGATTCTTAAGGAATTATACCTGTGTAGCATTTAGCTTTAGTACAGGTGTATCCTCTCATAACTCCCAGAACATGCTTTTTTACAAAGCAGTCCTGTTGATAAGGTTCAAGATTAAAAATTATTCCTGCAGGTGACTGTTGGTTAGACAACTACTGACCCATTTTTCATTCTCAAATACCTTAATGTATATTGTTTGAATTCAGACGTCAATTTTCCACTTGATTAAGAGATTTAATTTTAAATTTGCGTTGTCCCAAAAGGCTGGAATATATTAGGATCTGAGGTCAAAATATTTAAGTCCTCGGTAACGTTTCAAGCATGCTTTTATTCGGGTCTTGTTACATTTGATTTCGAAGGTAACAGTCGCAAAATACGTTTACTATATCTGTAAACTTAATTAGGGTGAAGGAGTTATACCAGCCCGCTAACCTGAGATGTTTTTGGAATGAATGCTGCAACTATGTGTGAATATTTCAAGACGCTGACAACGTGAAATCCAGTTGTCTTAATCCTATTGATAAGCTCTGAAGCCACGACATGAAAAAGCCAAGTCACCAAGCTGATTTCTGTGTTATATTAGAAAAATCTGATTCTAGAAAGTCCTTCATTTCTTTAACTAGCAGGAATGGGTAACTCAGAGTACAACACAAATTTAGACACATGTTGCTGGGAGTAACGAGAAAGAAACATTGGCCGGCCAATGTCCTAATAATTATCAAATCTGTGCAAGCCACCTGGGCTTGAGGAGGGAATGAGCGACCTTGAGGGGAGGCACAGGAAAAAAGTTTGTTCAGACAGCATGATCATACGACCTCCTCGATGAGAGATTTCGAAGGGTTAACACTGCTCTGGTTGCGGCATCGATGGGATCAACGTTGTGTCCTGATTGCCATAAGTGGGTTGGGGCATGTCGCATGGCTTTGTTAATGGGTTGTGGGTTATGCCATGAATTTGGGTAAATGCACGGGGATGGATCGTTATGGGCCATTGAGCTGGGTAAACTAAAAAGGGTATGTTATTAGATTTTTACATGTTGTGAGCTGTTTGACATTAGTACAACCTAAAATAGCAGTAAAACCATCAGCAACACTTTTGCCAAGCGCAAGAGATTTCGATTTCATTACAGTAATTGCCACTAAATAGATACTAATGAAAAACATTCTTACTTGTTTGAATGAGCTCCCTTCCAGTTAAAAGGATCGGGTCCGTTGGTCTGCAACCAATGTCTGTTAGACACAGTGTGTCTATTATGACTCTTGTCTAGCCAGTCGTTCTGAGAATGTGAAGGAAATTTCTGGTGAATTGAGCTGTAGTCAGAAGGATTACCGTGGGACGTTCGTGTGAGTATAGAGGGAGGAGGGGGAGGAAGAGGAGACGAAGGGGATGCGTCATAAAGTTCCCATATATGAGACGACTGATACTCCTTCGGCTGCATTGATGGAGGTGGACCGCAACTTGTCAACTGTTTGAATTGGTGCTCAAAAGGTGCATCCAACCTCTACGACGATGTAAAAGTGCATCGAGTGCTATTTGGAGTTACATTGCTTGATATAATTCAACCCAATAATTTACAGAAATTGCCTTTGGCGTGCATCAACCTACCAAGACACCTATAGTGAATTGCTGTTTGTGTTTGAAAGAGCATTTGAGATGGTGGAAATGCGTTTATAAATCCCGATTGGTAAAAATTTCCTGCCATAACCCTTGGCATTCTATCATCGGTGTAAGGAGAATTGTGAGTGTCAATGCCATGCGCATCGTGTATATCAGTACGTCTAAATGTGGAAACTTAAACAATTGAATTTTGTTAAAAAGTCAACTGGATACAGCAACCGACATTTCAGATATTGGTACAAAGATTTTAGGAACTTAGCATTTATCACAAATATGCCTGCGTTCAAGTGACAGATGCACCCAAATTTCATAGGTTAATTGTGCTATGGTATCACTAAATTATATAACTCAGATGCGGTAACTGTCCCGCTAAAAGAATATGAAAACATAAATAAAACCAATCAGTATGTACGTGATCTTTTGCGAATATTCAGATCTTACGAACCTGCATTCGTATTCAAATATGTTTTATGAAAGTTCGATTTTTGTTTATTACGCCCTAACACAGCTTCACTGCGTGTGTGGAAAATACACATAGTGATATAATAGTAACTCACGGCCACTATTTGCGGTAGGTAGCGATTCATCTTATTTTACTGTCGTGTGTAATAGCGTACACCAAATTGCCACCTTGCAGATCCCTGTTGTCTCTTGAGACGGACTTATTAACAAACGCTTCACATTCAAAATATACAAATACACCAAAGGACGTATGCACTGGGTGATTACATGGCTAAGGAGAGCCTCAAATAAGCACAAGAAGCTTAATCTGAGGCATTCCATGGAACTGTTTGGGCACCAATTGTTATGGCTACCTTTATTTTAGGACTACCAATTCGCCCTGTCACAAGACAATAAGCAAAACGCGGTGAACTGCAATCAGACCAGACGTGACAAGGCCACAAGCGCTTATTCACCCACTGCACAAAGTAGAAGTGTATTTCTGCAAAGTTCCTTGTCCACTTAGAACTTATAACAGTCAGTAAACAGGGGACAATCAAAATATTTTATCTAGGAATTGTTAAACCGGGGTAAGTCATCGTAGGTGAAAAGCTTCGTTGATTCGTTTGAGAACAAACAATGCCTCGTATCGATCTTTAGCACCCTCTTAATAATTTTCATCGGTTCTCTCTCTTCACCCTCTCTTCCTGCCTATCGCCGAAATCCACAGATAGTGAAACAAGCAGCTGAAGGCCATTTAAGGCAGCACACTTCAAGTAAACTACCAACGTACCCGACGCTCTGTGAAGTCATCTTGCATAAATACCGCCTGTCGGGGCTGACACGACCGAAGGTCGTAGCGAGTGAAAGTGCTGTGTTGGGGTGTTATTGGCTGGCTTGAAGGGAGTTCATGCCCGTCGAATTGCGGTGCAAACAGCACGTCGTCATCCTCTCCATGCCAACCGTCGTCGCTCTCGTCAAGCCGAAGATTGAACTTATACAAGGAATTAAATGTTCCATTTGACACAAAAGCGAATGATTTGTCAAGCGGTTTTTAATAAATATAAACAACTATGTGCATAACACTTTCGTGATTGAGCAAAACCCAATCTTGTCAATATTTTCTGATTACTTTCACTGGTTTTGATTGTGGCTAAGTAGATTTGTGATATTAGTGATACTGAGACAGAAAAAATAGTTTTATAGGACATTCACCTCACAATTATTCTATAAAGATGGTTTCGTTGGGCAACATTAAGGTTAGTTTGTGTCGCACACTGCAACCCCCATACGGAACGCGAAAGTGTGACGCTTAGGCCCAAATAATGCAAAGAGCATCGAACGAATGCGGAACTTGTCCTGACCCTCGAAGTCTTTTGTTTAGCACGATAAAAAAAGATTAGGATAAAATACTGGCAAGGTGAGTTTCACATCAGCTTGGAATCACAAATTTTCACCCATTGCTTGCCTATCGTGTCCAAATATACTACATATCACTTTGACCCGTTGGCCCTGAATTTAAAAATAAAAAGGTGTGGGCCCTATCATACGAAGGGAATGGAATTTGAAATCACTTGCGTGAAGTGAATTTCTAATGGGTCGCACGTAAATAAGACAAATGCGAATTAGATTCATTTAAAACCTCCTACTACCAAACTATTTTTATTTGGTAATAAAAGGAATCATTTGTGATCTGTTAGACGTTTGAACATATGGACAGCAACTACGATGGTACATCCTTGAGAATGCCTTTTTCCAGTTGACTTAGTCTTAAGTAATCCCGAGCCAAGGTAAAACTCAACTGCTATCTAATTTAAGAAACTGCCCCAGTTAAATATTGCATTTGTATTACATTACTTTGACAATAAATAAATTATGGCGTTAGCTGACGAGAGCTTAAAAGTGGTGCCAGAATAAAATGGATATAATGTCCTCCACAAAAGCGACTAACTTCCTTCTTGAAGACATTAGGAGTGTGTGCGATAGTCCAAGCTCCAGGAGAGTTGGACCTACTCCCCGTCCTTCGCTCACTCGACCTGGACCTCGTGGTATCCAAAGAATGTGTCGAAGGTCGGTGGTCCACCCGTCTTGCCTGACGTCGGAGGCTGCTGGGAATCGAAGGCAACTGACGGCGAAGACCACGGCTCTCTGAGATAGTGGGTGATTTGGTCTATACGAAGATGACCCCAATTTACTTAACAGATTTTTCTATTGACATACACTTCAATAATTCCACTTTTTTTATTGTAATCAGTTTGTATAAAGCCTTTCTCCAAAAAAAAGTCGAATACAGTAAAATTTCACTGCCAGGAAGGGGTACCAGTAGTATTGCATCGAGCCCCTATTGTGGAACATCGTGCCACTAAAATGTCGATGTTACAATCGCCAATAAAAATAGTGATTATTAATCAAGATAGAACTAATAAATTCCTAATCGGTAAACAGCGTGTCACCTTAATCCACTCTGAAAAAAACACGAAAGCTAATTATTGGTACTAACTGCTTAGTCATAAGTAACGGCTAGTGTTAATAATTGCATAAGCGTTGTAGTTTGCCAATGCAATCGGGCTCGTTGGCCCAAACATCGGCTTTTGTGCACGAGCCACATGTCACCACAAACTCAATTCAGTAGTTGCGTTCTTATTGGTTTAGTAGTACACTCAACTACATGGGCCTCTGCGTTGCTCGGCGACTGGAAGCTAAGCTCAACCTGGATTGAATGGCGACGCCGAAACAGAAAACATGGGCATTATGTTTAAGTCATTTTGAAGACATTGTCATCACGCGGAAAAAAAATTTTGTGCAATCCATCTGTTACCGCAAGCACTGGCTGCCTAAGAATTACAAAAAAATGCAAAACACCAACTTAAGGTGGCGATTTCGGACTAAGAACTAATCGTTGTAAGGATTGTGTAAAAAGGTTTGAGGCTTTTGCATCGGTTGAAGCCGACATGAAACAACTTACCACCAGGTGCCTCTCTCGTGACCATTCACAACTTCGTTCTCCTTCATCAGACCACTTAGGCAGCCCCGCACAAAATGGCGGTGCATACGCGGAAGAACGGAAACTTATGGAAGGGGCAGGGCTGGGTGTGTCTCCACGTGAGAAGAAAGAAGCATCCAATTCAGTTCCGTCCTCCTCCTCTTCTTCGCTTCGATAGGGAAGTGTAGGAATGGTTGTGGAGGCCTTTGAAACACGCGGGTATCTTTGTTTTATTTTCGAGGCCCATAGAAGTGGCGTGTCCCTTTTCTCTTCCTGATCTTCCTCCTCATCATCTAACTCGTTAGAGTATTTCATCCCACGGTCAAGTTTCTTTATGTAGGTGTACCGTTGAGAAGGATGGCTTGCGTTTAGTTTCCTGTTACAAAACCACTAGTTTAAGTAATGTACTAATAAGGTAAAACAAAATAATAACGTACAACGAGAGACGCCAATACGTAAGACAATATGCCTTATGCTAAATAACCCTATAGAAAGTCCAATAACTTGGACATCAAGGTGGGCATCTAGCTTAAACCTTCATCGTAGCTTTCTCTGGTTCAGAAAAAATTGCCTCGTGGGTTTAAATAAGAAGGAGATTTCTCATGTTACCGAAGCACCTCATCAGTCTGTACCTTGCTGCCGAAAATTAACAACTGTTTGCACTACTCCACTGAAATGCAATTTCGGTCCTTTCCTTATTGCATTTTAAAATGCTAAAACTCTAAAAAAATCTGGTTACGCTACAAATGTATAAGCAATAAAGACAATTAATCATGAAAAAGGCAAAAACGTACTACTCTGTGAATTTGCAATTAGATTTAAAGTGTTGTTACATGTAAATCTTGTTGTTACATCTAGGCAGCGCTATGTTTATTATAACGGACGTTTATCGAAATTGTGACTTTTAACTCCAGAAATATGGTAAATGTCACATTTAGCATACTTTTGAAGCAAATGGAGCGTAGTTTTGCCTGGAGTGCTCAGTTTAGTGTCACTTCTAATACGTTGTTAACAACGTACACTAGCAACAGGCCCCAGTTCTTATTTGCTTGGGGTCAAAAAAAGTGCTGAGACGCACAAGAATAAATTTTAAGCTTTTGAATTTGATTTCTTAACAGAATGCACGTGTTGGAAGTGGCTTTAAAGATTCGTACTGCGATGGTGACCACATAAAACCCATAATCGAATCAAACCGCTATGCAACTGTCAAAGAACGCGGCCTTATTGATAAATGTAACACAGACGTAGTAAGAATAGCTCATTTGAAATGTCTCTGGCGCGTTAATTTGGGTTCCTCAGGACCTGAAATAACTTTACCCAAAACAGCGATTCACATGACCTAATTATCGTTTCTCCAAAATGCACCAATATTAATAGAGTGGATCTTCCACAACAGTATCAATCAAAACCAGTCATAGTGCAAACGTGATGAACCACACGAATCACAGCGAAAGCTCCTTTGCAACACTAAAGGTCAATCTGACAAGGAATGCTTAAAACTGCTTACAAGAAAACTCACAAATTATTTAGATGCCTTCCTTCAGCATTTAGCGGAATTGCAGGAAATGATCCGAGAAAATATATCAAAAAATATCAAATCTCAAGAGGTTTATGTCCCGTCAAGCCAATGCAAGACATCACGCATATTTGGAAGTAGGTGGAAAATTAATGCAGCTTAGCTGGAAAGCAATGTTGAGTGCTCATATATCCATGACTTTTAGGCATTAAAATTACCATTTATTTCAGAGATTGCAAAGCTCCATGAACACTAAAGGTCATCAAACATGGTAATCTACAATCCTACTAGGTTTAATTTTGCAGAAAAGGACCACAAGTATTATGGGTGCAAAATCAAAACGTCGCATTTACCGGTCGGTACAATGTGCCTCTTCCAAGTTGAAAAAGTCCCTTTTCGTGTGTCGGGGAACGATTGGGTATGATTTCTGGGACAGACCATGTTCACCATAGATTTGGGAAGAGTTGAATCCCTTAAAAATACAAAAAAACTATACATGGGCTTAACTTAAGTCTAAAAATGACTAAAAGAACAGGAAAAGCCTAAAGAATGATTTGGTTCAGGGAGAAACCTAAGCCTGGTTGAAGCAGCTCTTGCAGATGCTTGTTTGTAGTTGGTTCTAACATTTGTTAGTCACATTAGTAAGTGCTTCGCATATTCGGATTTACGCAGAATTGTGTGTACACCGAGTTTTTTTATGAATTCGAGCATTACGGCTATCCCATTGACTACAACGCTTGTTAACGATAATCGGATGCAGCCGGTGTTGGCCTAAGTTCCTCTCTGTTTAGTGCATCTAACAAAAATGCCACGTGAAATTCCAAAAGAGGAGAATCAGTCATGTACATCATTGATGAGCTCAAAAGAAGTTTCAACAATTTTTGTTGCATCACCACATAAACTTGAATTCTGGCGTATTTTTTATCAAAACACGAGACTCAGTTGATCACGTGTGGTCCAGTCCTCTCATTTCGTATTTGTGCATTGGCGGCACGTGTGTGCGGTTCACGAAGAGCCGGCTGACCCTAACGTGACGACGTTCTTTTCAACCAGCTTCGGTGCTCGTAGTCAATCCCACGGGCTCAATGACGGACTTTTTTGTTTTGTTTCGTTTTAGCATCTCCTTTAATGCAGCAAAAGTGTTACGAGTTTCCTTGCACATTTAGGTCATGGAAAGTGTTTTGTAACCAGACTTGCGGCAATCCTGGATGTTTCACGCTATTAAAAACAGGCTGTTTAGTTAAAAAAAATTTGACACTGTTGCAAGCCTCGTAATTTATAATTAACCCCAAAGGCATTATTGTTTGCGGTTAGAAAAAAATGGACATTACCCTTGCTGGAATATTTGAGTTACTGGAATTCGTATTTCGATTGGTCATTAAAGAAACAGCCGATGAAGGTAATCTAAGTAAAAAAATCAAAGAATTATTTGGATACTGTCATGTAACAGGGATTTTTGCATTCACGTAAAGAGTCTTTAATATAGCTACAAGTTTCGAATGTCGAATCAGGTAACTGGCGACTACGCTAATCCCTAGTAGAACTAAGATTTGCTAATTTCGTTTATAAATACGGAAAGTTTCTACATATGCCATTGGTTGTTCCACAAAAACTGGCACTTTCCTTTGCGCCTCCATGTAAAACGAGTCACGGTCGAGATTTATTTATTTATTTACCCTGTACTTGTTGTAGAACAATTTATTAGATTAGAATGCAGTATTTTAAACAAAATACTGCTCACATTCAATAACTATTTTCCAAATTAATGTCACGCTGTGTCTTGGCATCACAGCGTGTAGTGGCTGTTCACGAACTTAACCCATTGATGAATGTAACAAAAAAACGAGCAGTAAGTTGTTAGGTACCGACTGCAATATCATTTCATGATAATGCTAATCGACGAACTTAATGATTTATTTTATTTGAAACTGTTCAATCAAGCAACCATGCAAAATGTGATTTCGCCCTTCTTTGAAACTCTGACTTCGTCATCTATTAGCACAGAGTAAGTTGGGAGATAATCTATTAAAAAAAAGCCACTTTGAATTCAATTACGTGGGATTTAACACGTTCAACTAGGTCTAATTGCCTGGCTCATGAAATGTGGTTGAGAGCCCATGAAAACTCACACGGGGAGATCGATGCGTCCATTTCTTTGGTTCGTTGGAGGAGTGTGACCACGTGTCCACGCACGAGTACTGTTGGCAGTATCATCTGCTTCTTTTCGCATTTCAAATGGCTGCTTCAATGAAATGTCCTCTGAAAATTTACTATTTTCTGACGTTGCCTCAAAATTATTGGTTTTCACTAATTCGAAATTGTGCTTTTTCTGGGACTAAAAAAGCATAAATTAAAATCACTTGTGGTTCTTACAACAGATAATAATTTTCATTAAACAAATGAAAAAATTGAATGATTAAACACTATAACAGATTACCAAACAATAAGTCCTAGGATTCTTCATAGTCGGAAATAATTTAGACTAATAATCCTACTGTTATTAAATATGGTTCAATGAGACCATATCCTAATCCTTCTCATAAATTTGCCAGTCAAGCTAATAACATCCTGCTAAATGCTTATTTTAATTGATCACAACTATAATGTTCTTTTCTGATGTAGTTGGTAGAAAAGGGAGTGAAATTTGGGAAATTTCTAGCAGATTTGTCGGTTTTAATAATAAACAATCAAAATGTTTTGTTATCAGCCAGACCAATCTACTGACAACTACGACTAAATAGTTTAATGCTTACTTCTGTGTAATAAAAAAAAGTAACGAAACGTATCCAGATCTTAAAAAAAGGAGAATTAATTAAACATCTCTTGCGGTGTTTCGGTGCACCATCTTTGTATTTCAAGCTGAAAAACCCAAAAAATGTTACCTTTTGGTATTCAGTAGTGTTTGGTAAAACATCCGTTGGGGCATGGTCCAGTGCAGGCACTTGCAAAGTCAGTGTAGCCTTATGGGAAATGTCAGTTTCAGCGGTGGCCTCAGGTATGGCTTTGAGGGTCCCATTTGGTGTTGGACCGGTTGCAGAAGTGTATGGGGAGGGAGGGGCCAGAGTGGAGGTACCTGTGGCTCCAACTGGGGCCGGGGTATTCTGTGGAGAGTTTGAGGACCGCCTGTAACTCCCAACCCTCTGCAAGGCGTGCATCATCGATCCCAAGAGGCTCATTTGACGCTTAAAAAGTAAAGGTTCCTTCAACGGACAGAAAGTGATTACAATACTTCACCTGAAGACTGGTACTGTGGCGGGAAATTTGGTGAAGAGGGGCAAAAATTTAGTAATCATAGTGGTCGATTTCTTGTGCCTTGATTTTTAATTTAAACGTGAGTAAATTTATTATATTTACTGCTGACGCTGAAAGGCGATCTGACCAAAAACCTGATTTGTTTCCTTGTCACTTATTTTAGATCATTAAGACGCTCAGTCTAGCAACGCATTGGCCTTGGCTTTAACAACTTCTGATGAAGAGAGACCAGAAGAACTGAGTGGGATTTATACATTGACATAAATAACATTGATTTTGTAATTTTAAACGATGTAGTAGAATGTATCGGAAAATTGAAAATCCATTACCTTATCATCTCCCGCAGATGAGCCACCACACTTGTCTTCATCGGATTGGACAAATGAAGTCCGCGTCTAAAACGTGAAAAACATGGCAGCCATTAGTCGGTGTAGGGTAACGTACGCTTCATTACAACAAACATAATCACTGAAGAAAAGAGACAGACAAAACCGGATATGGTGAGAGACCATTTTATTTAGAATACTGTGAAATTGCACCTCGATGTAGTATCATTACGTGGAGACAAACGCCCCAGATAAAGCACCGACTTGATCCAAATTTCACTTCTCTCTTTGAGAAGTGAAAATATCCATTCTTTCCTACACCGCATATTTTCACTTGATAGCGTCAATTTATAATTTTTTTATTTATAACTTTGTCTTACAGATCTAGTTGACAATCATTGCTGTTACTAAAGCATTTCACATCACGGATTATCTTAGAGAGAGTAATCTATGTATGAAAAAGAATAAGAATGTAGGCATCCTTGTTACAAATGGAAACTCATTCTACGTAGTCATGAGACACAACGTTGACTCATCCATAAAATACTATAACAATTCAAGAGTCTGCGCATTGTCAGCGCATAGTTCTTTTAAAAAATAATGGTAAATTATGCACATAATTTTCAACTTCCTACGATTTTAGTCTTTTTATCACAAACAAAAAACTGACAAATTAGGCTGGAAGCTTTGTCTTATTGGACGACAATTTGTCTATTTTTTAACTTTTTCACAAAACACATCAATACTGTTTCAAGTACCTTGCGCGACTTCTGGTAGTTGAGTTTTGGAAAATTAGCCTCGCAAATTGTTTATTATTTACTGACTGTGACTTAGCCACAGTTTAAAAAAAATCAGCGTTCAGCTAATGAGGTGTGTTCCGCAGGATGTCTATCGTCAATCCCTTAAGTACTCCATAATTATAATAAAACACTTTCATTAATTGAAAGCACTCAAATTGCATGAACTGCATGTTTTTAATTCACATAACTTGCAAAAACGTCTTTTACACAAAATTATCTCCATTAGAGCCCTTCAATTTGTTTTGTTTTTCCTTGAAGATGGTAGATGAAAATGTGAGTGGTTAATCAATACCATGCAGGTTTAATATTCTTCCTTTGTCTAGAAAAATAAGACGGTATTTACCTGCTTACCTATATTATTTGCCAACTAGTAACTAGATTGTGCTCTATGTTAGGATGCAACGCGAGATTTATGCACGGCGCAGAAGAGCCCATCATTATACGGCTCTTTCAAACCACACTTAGGCCTTTAGTAATAATCAAAACTCTTGAATAATTAATTTATGGGGTAAATATGGTTGCTTAACTCCTTTGCTTACCCGGAATGGCATAATGGAATGTCTTTTGTGCTGAAATTAAAAAAACAGGTTCAAGGTCAACAATAAGCTTTGAACAAGCCAACGCCTAGGGTCAAGGAAATGTGTATTCCAGATGTACGAGACTCATTTAAATTCCCAATTCATCAATAATCAGAATTATGCGCTGAATAAAAGAGAAGAGTTCGGGACAAAGTTAGGCTTGTGCTTAAAATTGCAAATTGACCATACGCCCATTTGAATTGACAACAAGGTCGAAGAAAATTCAGTTAATACTTGTACAAGTAGCAACGGTACAAAGACAACATTAAAGTTTACTTAACGTAATGGCATTGACCTAGTTTTTGGTCTAGCAGCAGTGACTGATCGTGCACAAAATTAACATAAGACTTAGATACGTGATACGATAGTAATCTTTTTAAGACGTCTCCTCTATTCATGAACCTGTTAATCTTTTTTTAGGTATTCATGTTTGCAGCCCATGTTCACTTACGAAGTGTTGGTCTAGTGGTCATTTGGTTAATAAGCGCAAAACATGTATGAAAAAAAACGGTTGAACGTTGCTTAACGAAACATACCTCCACCAGCTTGGACAAAAAATTACTTAAGACGGTTCCGAGCGTTGAGTAATTAACTCTTATTCTCAAGAGCATCCTCCTTCATTTACCGACTTGTCTGGGGCAAAATGACCCGCACACCATCCAAATGTTGCTTTTTAAGAGTACATATCAAAATCTAGGGGAATCTAGGCATACCTGACCATAAGGAAGGTGCTTGTGCTCTTCAGCTTTCTTCAACTTCCATCGACGAAACCACTCTTGAATGAGAAACGTGGCGTAAAACTTCCCAACAGTCACGTCATCGTTACCTAAATGAGCACGGAAATAGTGAGTTCCACGTTGAAACGACAAAAGATTTGTGCAGGTAACCGATGACTTGAAGAGGGGGAAAAGGAGAAGTCTTTCGGAAGATGACTTGAAGAGGGGGAAAAGGAGAAGTCTTTCGGAAGATATAGGGTTAATGCTGTCTAAAATGATATTTCCTGGTCCCTTTTGTTCTAATAAGATAAGCTAATTAGTTATTATTCGTGCAGTGTACAGCTCTTAAGCTACTTTAAAATCGTCCTAAATTTCATTTACGTTTATCTACTGCAATTAAATAAGATGCACACAAATTTAAGCAACGCAAATGTTAAATTGAACAGGCTAAAAATGAAGAGGCTGCTATGCATAGTATCAGAAAAAATGAATAGTAGTGTTTTCGTGTCACAATATGGGAACAAGCTCAACATCATTTGATGTTCTATAATTAAAAGCAGACTCGTGCCTTTTTTGAAGCACCGCTTCCGTTACACAAAATGTTTTTTATTATCTAAATTGGCACACAAGTCTACGGCTCTAAACCTTTTGACAATTCAGCCATCTAAAACGGTTCTACATGACGTTTTGGACAAAAATAAGGCTGGCAAGACAATCACCTCTTTCAAAGAACGGCTAATCTAGAATGTTCCGCGCTCAGCTGTAAAAATAGCGGTAAAACCAAACGGAGCTGCAATTTTTGTAACATGGTGCAAAAAATCAGTCCATACTACAGCACAAAGTTGACGACAGTTGCTTTGTTTATTTTTACAGAAAACTGTAATAAATTATGCAAGAGTTATCTTTTTTCCTGATAAAAAGTTAAAAAAGAATAACGCAGAACTTGGGCGCTATTTACATCCATGAGTAGGTGGTCGGATTTTCCATAAAGATAAAATATTTGTGTAAAAACTGTGAAATGACTCCATGGCCAATTTGCTGTCACCATACTAGTGACACAAGAATATGACCTTTAAAATTAGTATAAAATATAACTTTGTAAATGGAAATATTTTTCTAGATAAAATAATCAAAATGGCTAACTGGACCATCAAAGTAAGTCAATTTACCTTTAGAGCTAGCTAGTCCATATTTCAGTCAGCCTAATGTGTAAAATTTTAAACATGTCTGCAATAACTGAATGGATAAGATAGCAATCTTCTGCCAAAGTAGTTACATGGGCCATACAACTTTGATCAAAACAGGTAGATTATATAAAGTTGCAAATAAAACACTCTAGAATAAAAATTAGCCGTTACCATGCCCGTTTGAGTCATTAACCACCATATTTCGACGGCAATTTTTGATTACATAACCACATACGATTTACCTTATTTTTTCAGGAAAACAGATAAGTACATAGTATATTTCAATTTCGTTCAATAACAAAATATATTTAATTACAAACTCGAACTACCCTTAAAATTATTGTTACCATAAAAACGTATACTGCTTGTCATGAGGTTGATTTAGGTGAGACCTCTATACGTAGCTATCGTAAGCGAAATTTTTAGTAGATGGGTCAGTTGGCATTGGGTGACATGCACCACAATAATCATTGCAACCATGAGTTTATCTACTTAAGGTTTAGCCCATTGAAAACGGCAGGCCTGATTCTGCAGCAAGGTATGCTGTCTGTAAAGTCAATGCAAACTCGCACCTCATACACTGAAGGCGTATTTTTATCTCTATGAATTTGGTTAAACGTAGATTTGAAATGGTCCTAATTGAACTTACTCGGAGTAACAACAACAATTTAGCTACTCCGGTGGGTCTTTGTTCATGAGAATAAAATCTCCTTTAAAACCCAATTTCACACCTTGGCCTCTTTGCCAATGCGAAGCTATTATCTAGCTCACCGATCAATCTAGTAGACAGTTATCAATTATTCAGCATGCAGGACAGTTAACAAATAGATTCAAGTTCATATTGTACCTGTTCCAGAGGAAAAGACAAATGCGTCAATTTACATTGAAAGTTTAATTCCCAGGTAAAACACTGAAAGGGTAACCGTATGCTTAAGCTTTATGCTGCCTACTGATTTGCATAATGGGGGACTCCAACGAAGATCATCACTTAAACATGGACAAGTGAACAATGGATATGACTCAGTTGAGGTGCGTAGGGTGGGTGAATTATAGCTGACGCTGACATAAAAATAAATTTTGCACAAACCATTTTTATTTCAGAAAAATAATTACCAGTTCTTATGTTGAGAATTGGCTTTGTAAGTGTATTTAGATGTACTTGTCAAGTTATCAAAATGTTGGTTTAAAGGAGTATAAATGTTCTTTGTTGTGGTATCAGAATAGATTTCATTTAATACATAGAATCAGATACAAAATCTAGTAACGCGTACTTTGAGTAACAGAGAGCTACCTCTAAGTGTTAAGGCTTTATTTCAAAATATGCCTGCATTAAACAGTTCATCAAAGCTTTATTAAGGTGGTGCTTTCAAGGCACTGACAGAGCGAGAACCCAAAACAGCAGTGTTAAATTTATCAGTGATGTCATGTCGATTTAACTACACCATCAAACTTAGTCGTCGAAAATTGGAAAACACAGACAAGTTAAAAGATTATTTACCGGAAAAAAAACAATTTTACAAGTAGGTCGGTTACTTTGTTAACAGACCTAAACAGATTACAAGTAGAAGCACTTTTTGATTAGCAAATAGATGCTTGAATTCGTTGAGATTGTTTTAAAGCTTTACCTCAACAGGTTTCTCCCAGCAGGCACAGCAAGTTCAGAAAACAACCCAAACACAAAAAAACTCGGTTAATCAATAGTGCTTTTTTAAAACTAGCACGAATGTGGCACTAAAAGGCCTAAGAAACCTTAACCAAATAGACAAATCCACGTACACAAAAACCGCCTTGGAAAACGAAATTTGATGGTCCATTAAAATTCATCGCGCGCGCTGATAGTCAAAACTGTGGGTTATAATTGCCAGTGGGAGTTGCAGTGACCCTAGGTCTGTATTAGGGTCAAATTCGTGTATAGCTAGCAGTTATATTCCTATATAACTGATAATGTTGCAATTTGATCATAGCTAATCACCCAAGTAAGTGATTTTAAAAACAAAACAAACTATGCCGATACGTTTCGGACAGGATGAAGGTCCTTCATCCCAAAATCGCTAAAATTTAGTCGGTTACATATTGTGTATTGCATTGACTGGATGACGTTACGAATTTGGTTAGTTTCTAGTCACGCTGTCTCCATTTCGAAGGGGTTAGATGTAAATATATTATCAATGAACAACCAATAATAATGTCTCATCAGCATTGCAAAGCCCCAACCATTTGGCGCGTGAAGTACGTGAAACGTTCCAGCCAATGTGGGTAGTCCAGTAGTGGGCTGAACAAGGTCACAGGTTTGCACTAAAGTCACCCTGGCAAAATGCCGGTCATTGTGTTTACGCTGTCATGGCTCCCATAAATTTGTGAAATAGTTCCTGTTAACAGGACAAACACAGGTTGTTTTGGTTACATAGATAAACTGACTACCCTTAAGTTTAGTAAACTCATTGCTCGTTGGTAGGAATACTTTAAAGTGATGGACCGAGTAGATGATTTAATACATTCACAGGAGGAATGATAGGCGAATCCATCTACCTCACATAATAACCTGTAAAAGTCACTATCATTCTATCATTTCCCAGAGCTGCGTGGCAATTATTTGTGCAACAATTCTGGTACCATACACTTAAATACTTTACTCGATTTATGCAAAAAAAATCACGAATCATCAAACAGCAATTTGCTTTTCAGACCACAATTGAAGTGAAAAGACTGATAAAGAACATCTCGGTTCGATTTTCATTAGATGCATACGACACACAGCCAAAAGTTTACGTTGGTCAGTTTGTCTATATTAGTGACTTGAGTAATTTTGATGTGGATATTACCATATAGGGATCATAAAATGGAATTAAATAATTTTAACTATTGTTCAGGCAAACCGAAATTACTTAATCTGAAGTCTTCGTTACTAAAAGAAGCCTATTTAATTAGATATCTCAAAATTTAAGGAGCACAGATTTTCCCTACTTTCCAAATTATCCTTTCTCTTTCAAAAATAAATTATAAGCCAAAACACAGTACTCTCCTTCGAAAAAATTGAGAACATTTTACTGAATTCATCAACGTGTATTTTCTTAAACTAAAAGTCATTCATGTATTGTGCTTGTCGTCTGTACTGTGATTTGAGGTTAAACAACCAAATTGAACTTCGCTACAACAAATACTAGCGAAATCAATCACTGCTTTGTTTTTTATTATATTCGAGCAAAAGAATTGCAGTACAAACACGTCATTAATATATCGAAATCATGAACTTTCGCTAAGTGGATATAAATAGGTATTAAAGTGAGATTTACCTATTTTAAGCAGTGAAATGTGACACCCAGCACCCTAGCCGTGGTTTACATCCTACCAGAGATAAAAATGCTGTATCATGTCCATTAAATCAATTGTGAAACCAAATTAAGTAGTTCCTTATTAGATTGGATGCTAAGCGATTTAGATTCGTATTGCATCAGATTGTGGGCAGATCAAAGCATGCAGGCGACGAAGCATGCTGATAAGAAACAAACCAGACGTGCACAGCAGGCAGACACACGTAAACGGATAAGGAGGGAGAGGCAGCGGACGAAGTGGTTGAGGGGACGCTGTAAGAAGAGGAAGAGAAATGACAGTTGCTTAGTTTAAAATATACTGTCGCTTTGGGCCAATGATCCATATTTTGTTTTATCATTCTTAATAGTGACAAATACAGACACACAAGAACCAATTTGCGAATAGTAATCGATATATAACATGATACAATTTCAGTACATAATTACTCAGACACCTTGCGATAGGGGTGAAAGTCAGGATCATGTTACTTTAACTCAATATTACGACTTAGTAGATTTTGAACTTTAAATTTTAGTTATTTGTGTGCCCGTTAGCAACTTTTTTAGTTATTCGAAAAAAAATTATTTGAAAGGCTCTAACCACTTTTTGGATGTGCCATCGTGTCATTTGTCGCGCAGTTTTGTAACCTAGGAGTTTCGGAAAAAAACATATTAGTAACTAACTAAAGTTCAACCTTTTGTAGGTATCATATCTTTCAGAACGACGCCAGTTCCTTTTTTCACGACAGAGTGATGTGGCTCTTAGTGGAAGGGTTAGTTTAGGTAAATTGTGTTAAATTAACATTATCTACGTTAAATTCGTTGTGACTAGCATTTAGAAGGCATTTATGTATTCGAACTACATTCAGCGTTTACTAAAATATGCAAACAAAGCTTCCGTATTGCCTTCATAAACTACCAAAACTCTTGAATGTGCCTCAACACCACCTCTATCCTGGGGTTAGTTAAATTTACTGAAGGTACACCATAAGTACAATAAAGGCAATAATTAATTTTCTTGGAAATTCTATATATTGAGAAATCTACTGAGAGAACAGGTTTTCTGGCACTTATCATTTTTGATTATTTTTTAGTTAAGTCCATATCATTCTTGTCGAGCTGGACAAATGCAACGACATTTGGGTTTAAGTGTTGCTTTTGTGCGTTTTTAGTCAAATTTTCAATGAAGTCTTTTAGTTATTTGTATTAAAACCGGTGATGTCTATAATGGAGGCAAAATTTATCAACTAGCTTTTAAAACAGCGGAATCTAGGGTCAAGGAGGGCTACGAAACTACACTATTGACTACTGTTATTGGTGTCTGGCAATTCCTCATTTGCTTTGCATATGAAATATTTTACTTTCAGCGAGTATTAGTTTACTAAGCGCCCTAAACTGAGCCAAAAAGGGTGGTTCTAAGATTTAAATTTACAAAATAAAATGTTGCATGATAATCAACCCCCTTGTAAGTTAAATATGTACATTTTAAAGTGACAGAAGCTCTCTAAACTGGATGCGTTAAAATTCAACCAATTGGAAACCATCTAATCCAAAGTGGTGGAGACCGATGAACACGGTTTATATCCAAGCTTCTAAACAAAAAACAACGGGATAATGGACGTTTGAAGAAGATGTGGGTTTTAGACAACTTACTACCAGCTGGAGGAACCACTTGATCAAGAAGCCTTGGGCTTGTGTGCTTCCAAATCTTTTTGATGACAGCTCGCAGCTCTTCGTTCAACTGATCTGGCGTAGAACCTTGTTAATAATACAAAGTAGCTCGTTTAAGAATACTGAAAGTGATTTTATCTGCAAGCACGTTTGTAGTGGTTAATAAGGCTAATTAAGTAGCCCTACCATCAAATCCATCCAGAACATAGATTGGAAAGATCTATTTACATTTCAAATTAATGTTTTTTTTCTTCAAAATGAGCTTTTCAATTTCACTTGGAAGGTTTATTCCCCTATTCAGCATTCAGGCATACGTATTTAGCGACGTGAAAACAATTGCTCTGTGCTTAATTGCTTTTACTGAAGACTGATCTAAACGAATGACACTAGATTTTACTTTAAATTACGTAGATTTAAAGAAAACCAGTGCTAGCATACGAATTTTAAATTCGAATAAGGAATATATACCACAACATTAATTTACGAAATCTTGGTATTGTAACTCAAAGTTTTAATTGCAAAAAAATTGCTGGTAGCCAGAAAATGCCCTTTTAATAATTTATGTGGTTCGTCTTTGCAGTAGCTGCATAAAACAAATGTTTTTTTAACAAATTCGCTCCAAGGGTTAATAGTCAGAGTTTTCATGGATTTAAATCAAATTGTGATGCTTTGAAGACTAGAAGACATCTCTGTGGCACTTAAAAAGAGCGAATATCTGATTAAATAGTTTACAGGTCGATTGTAGTTAAGATAGCAAAGATCTTTTGCCTGGAATGCAGAAGCTAAAACAGCTGCCTGAATCTATGCCTATGATTTGGATGGCTAGTGCAAATGTCTTTCAGAATTAGGGGTTTAATTATACAAATTGAAGGTACCAGTTTTCGAGATGAGGTCTGAAAATGGAAAGTTTCGGGTTATGCCAACTCGTTATTAGCAGAGCCACAGAAGAAAAAAGTTTAATGTCGCCGAAACAAGGCATTTAATTTAGTTATTTCAGGTTATTTTACCAATCGCTAAACCTTTCAATACTTTCTTTGCACCCGCAAATAATAGTTTTGAGGTTTTTAAGGTGTGGCAGAAAATCAGTGCCCAAAATCCACAATAGACAGAAGATATCCAGAGTGAATGTAAATTACCGTTTTACATTTCATGCACTTTTGATGTGAATATTTCAAAATCCATACATAAAAGAACTTTAGGTGAAAGAGCATACGGGATATTTCCACTTATTCCTCGTGCCTATTTCACCCCTATTTTAGATTGAATTATGTTAAACAACTGATATTTTGATCATAATGTGGGGAAAAATGCAATGAAGTGTAATAATTGTCTTGCATAGAAGTAAAATGACAACATTTTTGAATCCAAGATTGGAAAACTTACTGGATGCCGACAATAGGGACCACAGTGAACATGCATGATACTCAAAGTCTGTATCTGGTATTATTTCTTGTCGCTATATTTTTTCCGCTTGATTTAGCTGCGTCCACAACACCGTCCTTCCCCCCTGACGAGAAAATTTTCGCTAATATAATATATTTACAACTTTCTTTTAAGGTGTTACTCGTGACCTTCAAGCCCTTCTCTTTAGTGGATTACTCCAACACGGGCTTCTGAACGCTACTTTGGTACTATGCATACTCTTATTTATCTTCCACTTGTGCCATTTTCACTTTTTCATTCAGTGATGGGCAGATTCTTCCAAAAATCTGGAGGGAATAGTACGATCAATGAAACAACTAAACATGTAAAAATTAAAGCAGACAGCACTGTTGGCTCTTAAACATCGTAAGTAATCAATCTCATTAATTAGACATTACCCTCTGTCTTGATTTTTAAGTTCGTCCTTACAAGTGCGAACAATGTTGCGTTGAACATGACGGTTCCATCACTGTTTAGAGGCATATTCATTCGCACCAATGTCTGCAAGGAAAAAAGTTGTAGACAGCACTTTGTAGTTAAGTCTACGGGTAAAATAGTGTTGTTTGAATTGTACCTACAAATTTTAACTGAAAAAAAGTGACGTTAGAGGTTTTAGTCCGTGGTTGACGTGGAAGGTCTAAGAATGTGCCACCCAAATTCAAAACCAGAACAGTAGACAACATATCAACTGTCACTTGCCGGTTTTTTGTCAATTGTGATGCTGATAATCACAGAAACCAAGGGCATTCAATATAAGTTAGGCATATTTTTTATCCATTTTTTGGATATCAAGATGTCATCAGTTGAAAATGAATGTAACCAAATTGGCGAAAGTTCTCCGCACGATATTTAAACAGGAGTTCTACAAAAACTATTGTTTCTAGTTCACTACTTTAAATGGTCGCCCCGTAGCAGTGATGGCATAAGTTATCAATGCCTATACGAGGCAAATAGAAAGAAGACATTCACAATATTTTAGGAAATTCAGGTGCACAATGGATTTATGTTGGTCTTTTGTGTCCTCATTATCAGCCCAAGTTTAATGTACGTCCAAGACAGGGAAGGCCTTGCATGATACATAATACATGACACGATTGAATTTTTTTTCATTCCGTAAAAATAAATGCAAGGTATAAAATTAACAAAGGCGTCAAAATTGGCTGCAAGTTAGAAGAATTACTCGTTCGCAGACTTACTATCTCTCACATGGACCAGGAATCGATTTTACTTGAAAATAGATTTAAAAATAAATGGAGAAACTTTAATTCTCATCTTTGAGGAGACAGCTGTAACGCTCATCTAGGGCTCCTGGTTTAATTAATATTCTACTCTTTTGTTGTGTTCTGCTCACTGTTCTGCTATAATGATCTTTTTGATGACTGAACGTAATTATATACTTATTTATAAAGCCAGTGAAAGTTTAAACAAGTCCGACTAGATAATGTTAGCAGCTGTAACCTAAACTTCAAGATTTCGAACTTTGTAGGAATTACAGCCTGAAAGAAACAACACAGCTTTCTCGACATTAAAAGCCATAAATGCGGCTTTCAAAGTGCCACAGCTTAAACAATGACTCTCTTCTTACTATTCTGTAGGCAAGCATTGGCTTAGTTGACACAGCGTATTTCCTGTTAGCATGTAAAACGAGTGAATCTATGGTGAATTTAACAGATTTTCAGATAAAACCATAGGCCTTTTAAAAGTTCCAGCCAATTATCCTATTCCAGGAAATCCCTTGGGGGTGGTTGTAGAAGGTATTAAAAGGCTAAAAAGCTGGATGTACTCAGGCAGCAAGAGAAACTGCAAGAACTCACCACGCATGCCGTTCGATGAGGGCACAGTTTACCAAACCCTAATGGGGGTGAGATCTTACGAAGTAGTGTTACCACGTCGAGATGTTTTATTCTACCCCTATAAAGTTCAGAGCAAATATTAAAAAGGTAATTGATATACAACCTACCTCTCAACATCTCTCTAGCTGAGCACAATTTTCGCAATTCGGCGGCCACCAGTTAAATGTACACCAGATCTTTAAGTTATACATCCGGAGTTCAAAAGTCCGATAGATAAGTCTAGTTACAGCCAATGGATATTTGAACATCCTGTGGCTTAAAGCCACCATATTTCAAAATAATGAAACACATCACAAAAAATGCCTTTGTTTGTGACCAACTGCTAGGCTACCTCTAACCGAATAGACTAACTCCATTTACATTTCTCAAGCAGTTCACGGTTCAAGTACTCAATCACGAAAGTCAGATAGCGAAGTTACACGTACCTACAATTTTCCTTCTGTGTGGCTTACAACACAATTCATTTCCATTCAATTTTTTTGGATACGAAATCATAAAAGACAAATAAGATCTGTAAGTGAGTCAAACCAATTCCCAGAGGCCATCCGTCGGCTTAGTTACACTTCAAAAAATTGCGCACATCTAATCTACCTGAAGGAGTAAAGTGCGCCAACCTTCTCCCAGGCGGAAAGTTGAAACCGGGAATTATATCCTTTTCTACCATTACGACTACAGGTTAATGCAAGTGTAGAAAAAGCCTGCAAGCATTGTGGTACTAGAGTTACCGTTTACACAGACGGGATTTATTTCCGCATTATGTCATCCCCAGTTTCAATAACACACTTGTTTAATTCTAGGTACGTTTCTCCAGACCTAAGCTTTTTTTGTGAACTGATACGTTAATGTGTACTAAAATATACTACTCTCAACAAACAACTCGTTTGCTTACTTGGCTTCAGGGTCATACTCAGACCAGAGTCGAACAAATTCGTCTAGATGGTGAGGTCCCAGAATGGACCAATCGCGAGTAAGGTAGTCAAAATTGTCCATAATCACAGCCACAAACAAATTAATGATCTAGAAAGGTGCCATAAAAGTTAGCTTGTTTAATGCATTGATTAAATTGCAAAATCTGCTCTTATGTCAAGTATAAAGTGTTTACCAAATTTTATTAGAAAATAACCTCACAGGTTTAATGTAGATTAGAACTTTTCTGGACCAAATGATGCATTATAGCCCAAAAGCCATCCCTAAAACCATGGCTTCTGTGATTTACATTAGAATGACTTTTTGAATGTTCATTCGGAGGTAACATAGTAAAGGCATAATTTATGGGGATGTGTGACACTTAAGCCATAATGTAAAAGCGCTTTCATTTCAAAGGATTCGAGGAGCTGCCTCTAAACTCCTGATGAAAAATTATTTTAAAAAGAATTGAGAAGGACACAATCATTCCACGTATTGACCGAAACCTTTTAATACCATGAGTGCGACAAGCCCTACATTTGATTTGAAAATAAATTTTCCTATGATAAGCGTAAAATTGAATTTTGAGCGTGGCCTAAAAAATAAGATCTATGAGATATCATCAATAAATAAGTTCTCAACGGGATGTTTTATCAGAAAAATTGAAAAAAAACTGCAATTTTGAGTAAGGTTAAAACATGGGAATACTTTAATTTCCTCTTCTGAATTTAAAAATTTGGAACCGTGTTCTACCTAAAATCACTTAATTGCATTTAGTCAATTTCATGGAATCCAAAAACTGAAATTTAGTGATTTCTGGCGACTAAATGCCACCCGCAGGTAAAGGCGTGTGTGAGGTAATTACAGTATAACCACGCATAGAATATTACTATCACATGCATAATAGAGGCATGCATACAAGCACTTAATAAAATTTTATAAGCAGGAGTAGAGCCAAAGCAAAAATGTCGGATTGTTTTAGGAAATCCGCTCCCATTTATGCAATTTCGAATTCCATGCTTTGTGTTATCCTACTTTTTTGGAAGAGAAAATATTCGTTTTGTATGCTATTTAAGCCTTTACGTATACCGTAAGGGTCTTTTTATAAATACCTTTGAAACCAAAATCATACTTCGAAAGCAAGTTGTCCCTGCTTTGAAATCCCATTATGCCAATCTCATAACAACTTCTTTAATTGTAAACAATTATGTGCCGTTTAGATCTGACGTCCATTAACAGCAGTAAAATCCTGATCTATTGACAAATAATACACTACAAGAATTAGAGTTTCGTAACGTTTGGGCCATCTTCTTCGATTCACAGAAAAGCATAATCTTAGACTAACAAATATTGCAGCTTCAACCTGCGGTAAAATTTTTCCAATTTTGTTTTTGAATGATAACATTTCGTGAAAAAGCTGGTGGCTTTAGGTATACCCGAAGACCCAAAATGATATTATCAGGCAGGAGTGTAAATGTCTTAACCTAAACTCTGTTTACAAATTTAGCATATTTGATATGTTTATTGTTTTGGGTGATGTGAGACATTCTGGTTTAAATTAGTCCAAAATACGGTATCATTTGTGACAAGAGTGCGCGTACAGCATGTTTTAGAATCACTTCTAGTCAATGTCTACCATAAATCATAACTTAAATACTGATATTATGTAATGGTATATGTGAACCATTTTATTAACGAAGAACTTTGAACTGACATAACTGATGGTTTCTCTGCTAAACAGATGATTAGAGGTGATCCATTCTAGGTTGAACAAATAGGCGAAATTATATTGATGTTAACTAACCAGAAAGGAGCAAATGATGTAAAAGCTAATGAAGAATGGGTACGCAAAGGCAGATCCGCAAACTGTTCTTTCTTCTTCTTCTCCAGTAGCAATCCGGCTTTCGTCCGATTGCTTATCACAGTAAGCCGTCTCTGCAGTAGCCCATGTTCATACCAATAAGCGGCATTTGAGAGGAATTGCGAGGCAGAGGAAAGAAGAAAAATACTTGGTTTAGCCTGTTATTAACTTTCAGCAAATTTAAATAAAAGCACTGAAAGATTAAAAATATTGAACAATTCATAAGGGGAACATAATTGAAGTCTAATGTTTGATATTTGCCTACGCTTGTAGCGTCCACTTTCAGCTATTAAAAGTTTACAGCAGCACTACGAAGAGCACTCCGAGCCTTTTTCAAATTAGCAGGTTTTGAGTAAGCAAAGGTCGGGATTTCACCCTCATAATAAGGATTATGGTGAGACAATTTGGATTATTGCCGCATTTACTCCGAGTCACATGGCCAACATAGTCTCACACCAAGTCCCATTCCTCACCCACAATTGGAATAGCCCTCCCACCGTTCACAGTAGGTACTCACTTCTTCTTTGCCTACACTCAAACCAACCTTGCTAGTTAAGTAGCAGTTTCGTCTTTTTGTCATTTGTCTTTTTTCTCGCCTCAGAACATCGTTTTCAGTTGTAGCCCGTAACAATATCAAGCTATAAAACACATCAGAGGTTCTACGTGGCACTTAATAACCCCATTAGAAACGTGACAGGCTAGAAATTTCCAAAACAAAACACAGGACATACACATAAGTGGGAAAATAATGTGTAGCAAATGTTATCTGGTACAAAAACGCATCCTCATTGAGTAGCATGGCTTAAAATGACCTTTATTATATGACTTCACACCGCTTGTTGCAACAGTCAACTAACTAATTTGGTAGTAAGTAGGCAAGTTGAGACCTTCCTGTATCACTGAGTCATCGACTGTGTAAAAGCGTCAAAAGGACTTCCAAAACATGCTGTGGAGGTTATAAAGTACATTAGACTGAAAGGAATTTCAAGACATTGAAAGCGATATCAGTTTGTTAGTTGCTATCCCGACAAAGCATCTTTGAGTACGCATCCAACAAAAAGACGACTAAACTTTTCACTCTAAACACATACACATTTCTATCAAATTTGCTAATTTCTGGATCTTTGATTTTTGTAAGTTACGTAAATTACAACACTCTAGCAAAAATATATTTTCGCTAATTATTAAAAGGAGAATTATTTGAGAATGTTTTTATAAATTAGCTTGTCGTTTGCATTATTAATATTTACTTCGCAAAACTCATTTGTTACTGCAGGTTACATAACGTTGTCTAATTTAATACTTTTGAATTTCTGCCTAGCACTTAGTGCATTGATGCCTTCGTTGCGTTTTTATCTAAAATTAATCAATAAATTTCGTCATAAATTCCTTTAAGCGCAACTTAGGACGTCTCACAGTCTCTGGGGTTCCTAAGGCTGTCGAAAGCGCAATTTTTAAAACAGTTACAACATTTTTAAGAAATTAGACCAAAGCTGAGACGACCTCTAATATTAAAACAATGTTTCTTGACTGAACTACTTAAAATAATAGGAAAAAAATAGGCGGGAAAATCGTCAAGGAAACATGTGGCCAGGGTAAACGACAAGTAAACAATTAACACAAAGTCCCATAAATAAAGCCTCGGCAATCTAATTGAGTGAAAAATGAAAAATGGAACTTGTTCATAAAGTGGCTCCACTCCAGAGGCGCGAAATTATTTTTAAAAAATTCGAAGCTTGTCTACTGTTGTAAAACACTAGGGGTTACACTCTGTGCCCAATTTCTGTTTTGAGTCTCGCATTTTGTGACCGCACTAGCCGGATTTGATTAATTGGGGGCACGCACTCCAGCTGCGAACTTGGGCGTGCGAAAAGGACGATTCGTCTTCTCCATACATCCGGTTTGCATTGACTTGAGGCAATGCCGCCTACCCCAGTAATCCGAAAAAAATAAGTTTTTGGTGCAAGTGTACAAATGGGATTATGGATCAACTGTAGTTGCAAACGTGAAAATGGGGTAGCATTTGGCCTTGGTGATTCATTTTTTCCCTTGGAATTTATTTAAAAAGTCCGGTTCTTGTCAAGCAATTTATATTCTTCCATTCCCAACACTCGTTAAATAGGCCCAACCAAATTTGCTTGTACAGAAGTGAACTAAATTGATCGCGACAAGGAGGATGTAATTCAGACAAATTTAAAGCTATTTTAGAAATGGAATGTTTTAATATTTATTGCTTTAGAATGGTTCACAATGGACAAGTATTATTCAGGCCAAATCAAACTAAAAGAGGCAGTACGTCTAGGTGAATTCAGGGTTCAATTATTGCAGCGAATAACACTGTGGCTTACCGTGTTTGACTTACTGCACAAAGTCCGAAATAAAGATTTTATTGCAGCCTTTTCTTATTAGTGTTTTACGGGCTTTAAAATTGCATAATTTTGTAGGCATCTCAGTCTAAAGCTCTAATTAATGGTTCTTACCGCCAGCACAGCTGAACATAATATCCTGCCACGCTTCACCGGTTGCCGAACGAAATAGAATCAGGACGGCCTGCGGAAAAGTCTGAAAATTCGCGTTTACGGTAATTGCACTGTCGGGGTTGTTGAGAGCAATTTTACCGAACATTTGCATGCCAATAACAGCATAGATGAAGAACAACATCAGAATCAGCAACGCCACATAAGGCAGTGCCTGTGTTGAGGAAAGAGATGGTTTAAGGGGCGTCGTAAGACACACCAAATAAACGCCAAATTAATAAAAGTTTTGATTTTATTGACTAAAACCCAGTCATAATTAAAGGAGGAACATTTTTTGACTTCCTAAACCCGTTAAGTAAAGTGACAGGTAACATAATTCAGGAAAGTACAAGAGCTACTCCTAAAAGTTTCCAAGAAGACATCACTTTCTAAATAATTTTGAACTCAGTGATTTCATTATAATTCCTTGGGGTTACCTCGATTAAAAAATATTTGGCAAGCCACAGACTTATTTGGTAATGGCCCCAAGAATGGCTTTAGTTCATCTTATTTCCTTCCATGAAGACTGCGGCAGACCTCGACCAAAGCAGTTTCCTCATTGCAGGTTTGAGGCAACCTTTGTGAAATCTTGCAGTAGAGCAATATCGCCTGGTTTTGACTCATTGTGCAAACTAATAATTTAGTGACTTTTATAGCATCTTGATAGTCATATTTTGGAGAAAAATAGGTGAAGAGAGGAATTGTATCGACAGGTTTGCTGATATTTTAGAGTTGATTATTCGGAATTGCAACGGCACGCTCTAGGCAAGCTTTGAACCAGTGAGCATTCACAACAGACTTAAATATCGATGAACCTACTGCGTGCTCGCATGTAAAGAAGGGATTATTCTATCGCTAAATGCAATTTACGCATTAAAATACTTGCATAAAAGGCACTTCGTGTGCTTGTGCATTCAATGTACTTCAGAAACCTGCCTGAAATGATTTGACAAACGTCCATAATAGAGTTCGAATTCCTTCGCCACGGCTTAGAAGCTTCACCAGTCGCATGACTCGAAAAAGTCGGAAAAAATTTATACTGAAGAACTTGGAATTTTCCTAAAAAAATCAATATTTAGAAAATTGGACGCTCAAGAAAACAAGTGACTGAGTTAAATGGAAAGCTTGCTAGATTGCATGATAAATAAGTCCTTCTCATTTTACAATTCCCCAAAAATACAGATGTTTTCTTGTGGTTATGTTAAAAATATCTACAAAAGAGGTCGTTTACACGAATTCACGTGAAGTGGTTGGATTGAAAAAATCTGACACAGATTAAAATTCGAAACCGTACTGCCAAGATATTACTTAACTACTTTGTAAACAGCATTTGAATGGTACAAATACCTCAAAATGAGTTATTACAGACGAAACCAGACGCCATCCGCCTACGTACCGTAGATATTGGCACTCAAATATACAACTAATTCACGTGGTCGTTAGTCAACGCTGAAACTGGTAAGAGAATAAACTCGCCACCGTGTCAAATCATTGCTTTGTATGCACTCAGCAAGTGGGTCACAAGTTGCCTGTGATTAATTACGTTATATATTAACCTGTTATCACATCCTCAAAACATGAAGTTAAATGTTTGGCTATCACTGTCGCATCTAATCCCATGAAAATGAGCATGGAAATTGAACCCCCCAGCGGCTTCTTGTCAGAGGGAACTGGATCTCACCAGAAGACTTACTACTATTTCCTATCTTAATAAATATGGTTCATTTCGACATCGTCACCATCACTTCAGGTACTACACACTAAATTTTTCAGAATTACGGTTTGTTGTTAAACTAGACTAGAACATCTTGCTCATTTCGGATACCAAATCCTGCCGGCTGTTTTTTTCGCCAAATTATCATATTGCCGTATTGGACCTCGACATTTTAAAATAACAAGAAGTGTCTATGCAAGTATTAATTAATACTTGTGGATTTGTTCCCCTTGTGTACATTATTAATCAGCGCAACTTCCCGTGAGAAATCTGATACCGCGAAACGAGAATTAATATTAACGAAAATTTTCGACTTCAAAATGCACATTAAATCAATAAACATTATGTTGACCAAAAACGTGAAAAAGTAAAATCTTTCTCTGCACTTAAAAACATATTTTATTAGGAAGCAGTAAGAAATATATCATTTATAAATTCTTTGACACAACACGTAATTTATGTTAAACAAGTGCACGTACATTAACAACATACAACATTGCAGTAAGTCACGGATTCATGTAAATATTACAAAAGTAACACTTTACTCATGATTACACCAATGTTATGAAGGAAAAAAAGTGTCTTTAAGTTTGTCGATTTGTGCTAAAGTTTAAGTACCAATCCACTTTTGTGTGTTTATTTAGTCAAAAGAGTAAATAGTCTAGCGGAACTTGAAGTAATGCAAAAAAAACTAATAATTATCTAACTTTCGACTACGACAGCCATGCTCTTATGTTAATTTACTATTCTTGCGGACACTTCCATGGTAATAATTATTACCCATAAATGTTACTCACCGCAATATGCGAGAGTACAATATCAACGAAGCTTCCGACCACAATAATGAAATCAAAGACGTTCCAAAGATCGTTGAAGTAATTCTAAAAGAAATAAGGAAGCAAAGCCATCATCTTGGTTTACATCAGAAACAAAATATCAGAAAAAACGCATGCATGCTTGTTTAAAATGCAAATATCTCCCTCATGGGGCTTTTCAGAGAACAATCGCATTTTCGTTATTTTAAATACATTTTAACCTAACTTTGTACTTTTTTATGGTAAAGGTGTTTATAAAACACATTAATAAGAGGCACTCGATTTTTAATATTTACAAATCCGATTAGCAGTTATTCCTCGGAGTTGAGACTGCGTCCTAGAAGGTTAGGCATTTTAATTTTAAACTACAACCAGAAATAGGGAATCGAAGTAAATCCAACACAAAAAATTATTTAGTTTATTTTTTTGCATTTACGCTAATTGACTCCGAATATGGGTGTCTATATCCCTAAGAAATCGAAACTTAAAAATCCTTAGTTAACTACCTTTGGAGAGACCACTGTGTTAACTAACATTTTACGATCACTTACAAACCACTCAAGCACATAAAATACCCTGGTCTTTTGCTCGCACCGCATGGCAGTCACGACATTGTCTCAAACATGATTAAGAGGAATGTTAAAGCAGATATGTGTGGCTAAACAGTACAGTAGAAGGTAAATTTAGTAATTCAGTCCTGAAATTTGTCGCAAACCTGTAGCTAAAAAAATTTAAATTTCGTAAAAAGGCAATTAATTTCATTTGCAGAGTACTGACTTTGAATCCCAGAGCAGTAAGCTTGAGAATGAATTCGACCGTAAATACACCGGTGAATATCATGTTGAGGTAGTCTAGGGCATCTGCGTACACTGGAGGTTGACCTTCAAACTGAAAACAGAAACACAGCATCCAGAAACCCATGTATATTTTCCTCGAAGACACCACCAAAAAGGCCTATGTGAATTGTTATAAAATGGTGCAAAATTCGATTAAAGGCAAGCAGGTTTTATGAAAATGGACTTTCCGTTAGCAGGTCTTCATTTCAGATCAGACTGACTTTTCCATGTCATTGTGCCAAAGCTTTAAGTAAGGCTTACATATACACTAAATTCGATGGATAGTTAATTCGGATGATTTAGAGCTTTAAAAATGATATTTCATCAAAACTCCAGGAAATCCGAGTACATGCGTCTCTTAGAAATTTACCATTTCCTGCAACAACTTATGTATTTGCAAAAAAGCGGTGACATGTAAAATATCTAGAGCACGGTTACTTATTTTCCTGCTCCTTAATCGGCCAATCAAGCATGAATGACAAAAAATATGGTCTTTACAGTAACATTAGTAGTTCGCAACTGTCCTCCGGAAAGACAAATCGCTCTGATGCGTATTGGCCACCACCGTGTTGTGAATATCGCAAAAGCACGATACATGGAATCCAGGTGAAAAGGCCAAAAGCGAAAAGCACTATCCATCCACTTGACCATGAGCCAACAAGTTCTCAGCATAATCAGTCATAACCACTTCGTGTGCGTCGATTGGTGGGGGTGTACGACGACATGCAAAAATGCAGGTAATATTTTGCTTTTCAGACATGACATATTTCAGCATCAATAATATTTTATTTTTTTGTTAATTTGAACAGCAAGCAGGGTTTTTTTACATCCTAGCCAAGCTATGTAATCAGTCATTGCTATAAAGACCTGAAGCATAGTAAACTACTATTTTGAAGGCATGAATTTATCACTGGGAATTGCAGTTGGAACTCGATTTAACCATAAGGGGAATCTTTAAGATGTCATTTTAACAAATATTTAATGCTAAATGGCTAACGGCTATGGTTAATGGCTACCTTCCCTGGCAAGCGTGAATATTCGTCAAAAATACTTGTCGTTGTATTCCAAATCGAACGAAAATGTTTAATCCAAACAACGGGTTAGCGTGATATCAGAAATCTGCTTCACAGAAGCCGTCTAACTGTTCAGCGAGCAGGAGTACTGGATGGCGCGGTCATCCAGAAAAAAAGAATAAAAGAGGTTTTCTGATTTCTGATTACGCTTCCACAAACCAAAATCTTCGAAATGCATTTAATAATCTGAAGATTAATACAAACTGAACACCAAAAATTTCTAAAGAATCGTCTGTCTTAACTGTAACCACTTTCTTTTCACTAGGCTTTGACACATAGGACTGTTCGAAAACTGATAATCTGCCGAAAAAATAAAAAGTGACTTAACATCCACTACTTCACGGACAATTTCTGGAGCACAAATACCAAAAAAGTGATGACTGCATCGAAGGTGTACATTAGCACCAGCGTTTATTAGGGGGTGCTACTCAACGTGAAATCAAAGGCACAGAAGAAGCAAGTTGATTTATCTGGCTCAATGACATTCCCCTGTCGACCCTTGCAAGATCTGCATATTATTACCATTATTATTATTTTGTTCATACTTTTGTCCAAGAATTCTCCAAACATTCAGACATTTTTTTGCTTTCGTCAGTTCTTCACATTGTTATGTAACAAATCGTGTAGGACATCCCTTTCTTTTACAAAAAACCCCACATTTTAAACGCATGGTTTGTGCAGATTTCCTTGGCGCAGATGTGATATCCTACCGGAAAACACCAATCAGGTAAGTCCAAGCCGCACCGTTTTTAATCTTCAGCTCATTTTCGACACCACCACTACCACAAATTATCATCACTCAAAGGTTGGCCTTACCTTAGACTATTTACATTTACTTGGGTTAGACATCCAGACATCGATCTACAGAATTTTTCTGACCAATCAATAATAGCGGGGCTACCTGAATTAGCGTAGGCATTAATCTTGCCATTTCATAGATTTCCTTCTCTTTGAATGTACTTTTGTATACCTGACTTCAAACTCGGCAGTCACTTTGATAACGCGTAACATTTGTGGGTAGAACAAACCTGAACGTGTATGTGGTGTGAAAAACAGAAAAAGTTTACCTAAAGAGATGTCTGGTGACCACGTAGCCACGTGCCTGATAGACTTCACCAATTAAAATTGACTTAAAATAATTAGGAACATTTATCAAGCAGCACAATTTAACTTAGGCTATCTCTTCTGTTGAGCTAATTACGCGTGGTAAAATGACAACTTGTACATCAGGAAAGTGGTACGTCGGATTGCTGATAAAGTTACATAGAGTGCTATTTCGTCTCCCAAAAGTAATAAAAATCGCAAAACATTTTACAGGTACTGGCGCAGTAAGGTATTGCAGGGAGTCGTAAGAAATAAAATTTGCTAACCGAAGTTGATTGATTGCACACGATGTCAAGGCGTGACATTACAATCACTGATGTATTAGGCTGAAATTATGACATTCTATGCATACAGAAAGATTCGTATAGAACACCATTAACTCATATTCAAAAAGTACAGTATAACTTTTATCAAAGTAAATTAAGAGTAATTAGGAATCACCAGTTGTGAGACGTGACAAATGCATACCTTGGAAAAAAGTGTTTAAGAGTTATGGAAATTCTAATCGGTTACAATCCTGACAGATGTTTCTTTAGCAAGATGAACTTAAATGTGCAAGATAAATTTCCTTGAGAAGAAAACGCTTAGTTTGACAACGGACTAACTGATTCCATATTTTATCGACAGAAATTCCCACGATTTCTGTTAGCAGTTTTACGTTCACTTTACGGCAAAATCATTCACAAAAATCGTTATATTACACCGCACGGATATCTTGCATACAAGGTTAAGAGAATCAATGATACTCTTCGTGCAAAAACTAGGCACGACAGGTGGTTTTTATCAGAATAAGCGCGTGTAAGGCACATTGGCACGCACCACTACCACTCAACTTGAAGAAATGGAGACTTGCTTATCAAGCTAGACGGCTAAGGAAGTTTATTGCTTTCCCCTGAACTACCCTAAGCATGTTACTCCAACTTATACTTTACACTTAACAGGGACTGCAAAGACAGCTCTACTTGACGAGAAAAGCTGCACAAGTTGCATATATCCTCGTAATTAAAGATTTTCCAGAGCTGGCTTTTGCAAATATTCCTACTTTTTGACTTGCTGGATCTCGTACAAAATCATCTTAATCTGATTCCTCAGACGTAGACATAATTGCTTAAACTATGCTAACTCAGACGCCTTGCACCAAAAACGCGACTCGGACAGGAAGCTATGTACTTTGCTACTTTTAACGCCACCATGCGGTTAGTAATATCATAGAAGCATCTGAGTCTACATTAGCAAAAAAATTATTTTACCACCAAGACGCAATTACCAGAAAAGCTTTAACTTCTTTTACGATAACAATCGGACATCTCAGTGCTATTCTGGCATTCATTGCAAATAGCAATCAGAATGACAATGCCGCAACGTGTGCGTCGCATCTTCGCAGAGAGTATATTAGAAATATCCTAATGGCATTCGATTTTAAACTTGGCAATCTGTTGAATGGAGCAAATTACATCGTAAGTCTCCATTTGTTTCAGTAAACACAAACATTGAAAAATCAAAGGCATGCATAAAAGCAAGTAACGCATTCTTAATAATTAAAAAATGTTGTCATCAGGCTGTTCCGTAAAAAAGTTTGACAAAATGCTATCCAAAATTAAATTTCAGGGAAAAATGGTTAACACGGCTGTATTCAAGTCTTCCTGACTACTGACATTTGCGCTGGATAAGTCATCAAGCGTATAAAACATAGCATGGGCCGAGTTTGTCTTGCTTTCAGCGAACATCGTTTTACATTTTAGTTCGATCCAGCTCTCGACAGTGGTTCATACTGGATTAGTTTCTGAGGGCTAGTTGGGAAATTCAACAGGGTACTTAACGGCCTTTTGTGAATGTGCATATAAGAGCACGTATTTGAAATTCTAAAGCACAGAAATACAAAATGATTATGTGAACTGAATTCACAAACTATACACTCATCTCCATTTATCTTACCAATTTGAACATAATTTGCCTGATAAAAGACAACTCCTAATTACGTGAATAATATTCAGGAGTCAAAACACTACGGTGTAGATTTTGGATTTTTCGTGTTACTTTTTATTCGTCTTGAATATGAAACTAGCTTAAATTTTGAAAAATCGTATGCGTACATGCTCATCATTTACATTCGACACGTGTATGCCTTGCTACTTCTGTAATACTTAAATTTATACATAACTCAATTAGTTTACGAAAGGTACGCAACTTCAAACGTTACTTTCTCCATCAACACATTAAAAAAATTAAAGAAACCTCGTGACTAATCATCATGGACTACTTCTCATTCTACGTTTTTGCTTTTTTTATTGTTTGGCTAATATGAGTGAAGAGAGAAACGTGATAGCTAAATTCATTGCTGATACTCGAAAACAACGAAATCTTACATTCTGCTAAGATTATAAAAATTACCAACTATCCAGAACTTGCGTACTATTATTACTAGAGCGTAGTTGTTCAATACATTGTTTTACCACAAAGTACGACCTTTTTATTAAAAAAACCCTTTGACATTTGACCAGACCTCAAAGTGACCCGTCTAGGTTATGTTGCTTGAACCAATTTTTAGCGTTAGTCATTAATGCTATTTATCTTATTTCTCATCAGTGGTATCTCCAATTCATAGCCGCACTTATTTAGAATCAAGTGAAACTGTTGTTTACTAAATTTCTATCGTGATGATTAAAAAACCAATTTGGCATGAGTATTTATCAAGTAAAATCACTTAGCATTCATTCAGTTGATTTCATAGGCACAAACTAGGTCGACTCCATTATTATTACAACTAGGATGTAGTTTGTGACTGTTGTTGCAATTAATAATACATGCTGATGTTACAAGAACCTCCCAGTGACAAAAAGTGAACTTGACTTCATTCAAATGTCCTCTGATAGAACCCAATAACTGCTCCAAATAAGCGAATCATTCAGTCAATATCTCAGCAGTGGTTGGGACCAACTTCAAAAGACATTTTTATTTTCGATGTGCTGGTCTCAGCATCAAAGTTAAACGTACGAGGCTTGAATCATCAGAAAACACTGTACGAAAGAATCAGTACACATTAGTTAAACATACACTTGCAGGTAAATACTCATTTGACATTTTAACATTTAGTTTTGCAAGCATTCATTATGAGTTTCTGAAAAGTAACATCTGAAATTTGTTTGAAGTGGCAGCAATGGACTTTATGTTCAAAGCTGATCTTCTTGTTGCTTATTTAAGCGTCTGCATAATTTATTTGGTTGTTCGTCTGACGTGTACCGTTTTTACGGGGCGTCGTCCTAGGAACCCGTTAATTCCAAAATCCCTTTAGCTTAGGTAAACATTAATAGTAATGAGCAAACAGTGCAGATTTGGCTGAAGTTCTGCAGCAAATTATCTATTTACAAACTTTAGTCCTTGTTTTACTGGAAGATTACATCAGTCTCAGGTCATTTTAGCAAGGTGTACTACTGCGTACAATGTTCGCATGAGACCAACATATAATATCCTCAATCTGATGGCAACTGTTATCGTTAATTTCTAGACTAGCGTCAAGTGTCTACATACGCTAAACAGGATGTGGTATTTACGGTTTTTTTACTTTTTGTTATTTGAAAGTTCTTTTGCTTTAGATGCCCTATTCTAGTAAACGAATACATAAGACAATGAATTCAGTAAAAACAACGGGGAGCCGTAAACGCAATTTGGCGTCACCTTTATACGTTGACATCAAACGGGACATCGTGCATAACAATAATAATGAAATGCGGCCTAAATAGCTGTTTTATGGAAACGCATATTGGTCTTTAAGATAAACCACCGGATAAAATTATGAGCACTCTGATGTGTTCAAACAGAGGAAATTAATGACAATTAGGTTTGTAGTTTATTACTTTCAAGTCACTGTAGCATCGACTGACTATATGTTTTGGATATACAAAACAAATCTTAGAATTAGTTACCGGTGAGAATTTGACATGTAAGGTCATTTAGAGCAAAACATGAATCACGGTAATGGGCGTTGGTATTGACAGTCAGCTAACGTGAAGCCACGTTTGATCGCAGGAAGGAAAATGACTTCAATAATAAACCAATATGGTGCTCGAATACTTAAGTTCTGAAATCGTGTAGCATAAAATTACGACCACAAAGTTTGCGTCAGCTTTTCTGGGATTAGTTGACAAGGTCTGTAAGGCTAATTGTGAGTACCTATTTAACGAACAGACACAAATAATCCGTTACGTTGAATTTCGTTTCATTCCTGTAGGCGAATTCTAACTAAAAATTTCGTTGTTTAATAATAGAATAAATGCGTATGCAGAGAATAACACATCGTGCGGGTGAAAATGTAAATGACTGCAATTCTGGTCTCTGCACAATTAACAAAACATTCCAAACTCGTTACATCTTGTTTGTGCTTCAGCTTTCTGCAATTGATGGACTAACGCAACCAGCCAGAAAGTCCCTACTGCTAACGTTTTGACCAAACGCGTCCAAGAAACAAAACCAATGACCCCTTTTGCCTGCTGCCTACTGCAAAGTACAGAACTGACTGTTACTGGGCCAGAGGTATGGCAGATGAATACTTATCAATACACTCAGGCAGTTATCTAAGAAAGGCGTCACTGTCAAAGTACCGAGTTCTGACGCCTGAAACACCTGTAGTGATGCACATGAGGGAAACCATCTTTGCGGTTTGTGCATGTGGATCAGGAAGTTCCAATTCGCTAAATCAAGTTAAACGTTTAACATTAGAATTTGGATTTGAGGTGGAGTAGTCCACCAAAAGGTCCTCCCAACTTAAGTAGCTAAGTTGTGAAAAGCCAACGTTCCTTGATAGTTTGGAGTTTTATTGTGGTGTAGTGCTAGGTTGACTCCACATTGGCTTTGGCAGACACGTGACCGGAATCACCAGTTGCACACAGACCTCACAGGGTCAGCGCCCACAGCGCCATTTGGCATCACTCCGGTTGAGCTCTGCTAAGCGTGACCATTTTCACGAGTAGTCAGTTGATTAGACCCTACACTCGTGTGTCTGGCCTACCAATTCAGCAACCAATCGTCACGCGAACATATGCATACCACGAAATTTAACCCACCAATTAGTACATTGATTCTGATCATTTCATTCAATTCCAAGTGTGAGGTTCAAAAGGCACAAGTTAACAGGGCATTACTTATGAATACTACCGTCTTCAAAAAACACACAACAAATTGTAAAAGAGTAGAACGTTAACAACTATGCTTGCGCTTGGAGTTAGTGATGTCCCTATTCAATGTTTAGTTTTGTTCATGAACAGGACGGTGCAGAGGAATTTGCCTATCAGTCACTCACCAGATAAAGGAGTCGCTAGTTTGGGCTGCATTTGGTTTGTTGAAATAGACTAACATTTCCAAAAGCTACATTTAGTGAATACAGTAAAAGAAAAATGCGAGTATAAAATTAACCACTCAGTTACATTACCGAACGAAATCTATTGAAAGTAATGTATTTAATGATTGTGCTATTTGCCTAACTGCTATGTGGGTGTTCGAAAGAATTGAAATCAACTGTATGAAGTGTGTCTCCGTTCCCTAAATACTCTAAACAGAGCAGCGATGGGACTAAAGATCCAAGGCTGAATTTTGAACTTCTTTTTGAAACTGACGATATGTGGAGACGTGTAGAGGTATAAACTACAAGTCACTGTCTTACCTTCATTCCAAGACAGATAGTGTTGATCAGGATAAATATGAAGATACAGTATTCAAAGGGTTGTGAAGTCACGAACCACCAAATTCGATACTGAAAACGCTCCTTTGGGATATATCGTCGCACGGGCCTCGCTTTCAACGCAAACTCAATGCATTTTCTCTGTAACAAAATGGAAAGCAAATCAAACACTGCAAGGAACCACTTTTTATTTGAAAACAAATATTTTCCTAAAGGTTGAGATGGTTATTTGTACAAGGGAGTAATTGGGAAAGGGATTTCAGAATAGTCGTTCTTTTGGAGGCACCCATAGTCCAGTATTTGGCGTAAGTTTACCATCTACGTTTCCTGAATTCGCTTCCAATTCGTTTGGTTTATAGGATCCAAATCCAGATCTCCTCTTTCGGAAATATAGATACAAAACAACAATGACTATTATGACGACGATAATGATGATCGGAACCGTGATTGCCGCCGCTAATTCCCCAGGACTTAGTTCATTTGAAGAGATCGAAGTGTTGTCGGCAGACTTGGGTTTAGGCGAACTTAGTGAAGCTTGCATGATGTTAGAATGGAGATGTACAAACAGGGTTAATATTCCCGGGATCGTTGAGGCATTGGTCCACTCAGTTGATCGCCTTCTCACTTACCCCTACCGCGATTAATAAAAGCAAGTTTCACACAGGCGTGCACATTAAATGCACGCATGTGTAGTGAGGCCAATGGGCTCAAGTGTGCATTATATACGAGTCTCTGATTGGTGGTGCCATTTGTCATTTGACCTTGACGCACGTGCGTTAAGCTTCATGGCGTGTGCGCGGGTATGTGTACGTTCGCGTACATGCGTATACCTAATTCAATACGTAATTAAGGCTGGTACTCAATAACTCAACATAGTTCTGTCAAATATTGCATCGTTTCCACGCACTTAGGTTAATGTTATTCCGGAGACTCGTGAATGGCGAAGTTCTGGTTGTTGACTGCTAAACGTGGTATAAATTGTTTGACAAAATATTTATCTAGATGTTATTACTTAAAAAAACAAAACATGTGCAGCGTAGTAGTACAGAAGGCTCTTTAGGAACCATTTTTTTTCTAGTTGAACATAATCGATAATTAGGCAGTGGTCATTTAATCGCGTTTTAAACGCTACCCCAGGTTTTCTGGTTGCTTAATCAACTTATTAAAGACCACAAGATTTAGGGTCTGCACATCAAAATTGATGAATCCCAGAACCGTAAAATAAATTCAATTTGCAGTTTTGTCAAATGCGTAGACATTTCCACTTACTTAGTTAACAACATTTTTAAAACGAAAACAATTTAGTTTGATTTCCGCAAGTAAAAATGTGGTGCTTAAGATTGATACATGAATAAATAATCTCGGAGCAATTTTCAAGGCCGCTACCCACAAAGGACTGGTGTAACACCTGCGTATTTTCCCCGCAGATCCAAGAGAGCCGGACTGTGAGTCGTTTCCGCACATTTAGCTACTTTCGCCACAAACCCTAACAAAATTAACAATGAAATACCAACGAATCGCATGCGAGATGTAAGTCTTTGTGGGGTCCGCCTCAACCTTAAATTCTGATTAAGACGATGTACCAGTTTTGTTTTAGATAACAACCTGGGGTTGTTGTGTTCCTCACGATAGGCATAGATTTATTTTTTTGAGAAGAGGAGCGAAGTTCCATTTGAAAGATGTTAAATTCCCGGTTTATCTTTATCCTTGCAAAATAAAATGAAACAACATGCCGCTTATGTCCTCTCCAAGACTTTATTTCACTTTGGTTTAAACATAGTATAAAAAATTAGTAATAATGTGGAAAATGAATTTCCTATCGGTATTTTCACAAAATCGAGCCAGGGAAAAAGACGAATTTTAATGTTCTCAATTAAATATTTAGAACCTTTTCGTGATTTTGAACATGGCTTTGCTGTCTGAGGGCAGGTAAAAGTAATGGACTAACACGAAGGTCTAATTAGGCGCGCACCACATTGCTGCGATGAAACATCCAGAACAGAGATTAATAATTCCATTATATTGCCTGCAGCAGAATATTCATAAACTAATCAGATAGAGCTTGTGGTGATAGAAATGTCGCAAAACAGTGAAGAAATCCTGAACCAAAAAACGATATTTACTAGTAAAAACTGAATTATAACTGATTACGTAAGTGTTAGATCCGAACAATAACTAAGAACACTGCAATAATATATGCAGGAAAATCTGTGGCTTAGCGCAAAGTTACGCCGGGGTCTTCCATAATGTGAGGGCAAAGCTGGTGAGTATTAGGTAGTGGTTGTAATGCCTACCTGGTTTTTATCGAGTTCGCAGCCTTTGTATTCTTGCTCACCCTCTTGTTGAAAAGTGACAATTACGAAACCAACGAAGATGTTGACCATAAAGAACGCCACCACGACTATGAAAGCGACATAAAAAATGGCAACAACTGGTCGGCAATTGTATACTTTTCCATGGTCCTCAGAATACGAGTCAATCGACCTAAAAATAAGCATCAACAAGCCTAAATTATGAAAAAACCACTTCTTATAACCCATAGTTCCAAAACGTGATAATTTTGTTCAATTATTCCAAAAGAGTCATTGAATGTTAGCCAATTATATTGGTCGCTAAACTGACTTTGGTTAGTGTGTTGGTGATTCTTCAAAAAACGATGATTTATAAGATACTCACTGATATAGCAGCGCTGGCCATCCTTCAAACGTCGAAGCCACGAAAAGCGTCAACAAACCATTGGGAACGTTGTCGAAATTAAGAGGATAGTTTATCCATCTGCGTTCAACCAGCTCTGGCAAACTTGGATTTTCAGAGTCATACCTGATAAATTGACCCCTGAAAAAAGAACGCATTCTTCATGTCTAAAGTAGTAGCATTCAAGACTATTTTTACTGCACCCTTGCTTAATTGATGGACTGCGTCCGAAATAACGTTCTTAAACACAGGATGATCAGATCACGGTGTAAAAGAATCAATGCTGAGAGCATCGCCTGAAGACAGATTAAAAGTCGAAAAGGCAAATACAAAAGGTGGTGATTTGGGGGTAGAAAAGGCCAGCTTACCTCTATCAGGTCGATATAACCACCACTGCATACAACTTCTAACCAATGGAGAGGATAGAGTAACTTAGATACAATCATGCTAGATGAATAACGAGGAGCCACTAATACTACTGTTGCGTCCCCCAGCATGCTGGCTTAAACAAAGCCGGGGCCACTGCATTGAATCTAGCCCGATTACACCACTACAATAACCAGAGAGGGCTAGGCACAGCCGTTTGCAAGATGGCTCAACCGACTTGCGTGTCCATGTGCGTGCATTAAAAGTACAAACGCGTGAGTGGTCCATGCCCGTGGCTGAATGGCGGATGGACCCGCGTGAAAGAAGGGGAAGCGTGTGAGACTGCGACAACCGGGTTATTGGACGTGAACCAGCACGATTCACTACACTACCCTTGCGTTGCCATTTTCATTTTTAAGTAACTAGTGGGATGTTCATTTGAATTTCGTGATTCGAACAACCTCAGCTGGGTTGTAAATATTTGTGTGGCTTAAAATATCTCTAATATTAATTAATTATAGCTAAGCAAAAGCTTAACTTTTTGAAGTGCATGACTGACACGAGCAAGACAGATTTAATGAAACTGATCCAGTCAGCAAATTTACTCGCTCAACGTGCCAAAATTCAAACGTTACCACGTCATCAGTGCTAAACTGCGTAAATTTGCTTCTACAATGTTGCACTAGAATCTACTAACCGGTGAAAATTGTAACACTATGAATCTTTGATAGACACAATTCAAAGTATAAATAATAGCAGTAAAAAACCCAAGTAATGTTGAATCCCAAAGATACTCTGGACGAAACATTAAAAATATACGGACGTCATTTTGCTAATAATGAGAATAGTCTAGTGGGAGTTTTCGTTTCATCAACTTTACAAATAATGAACGGGCAAAGGGGACGTAACTTACGCGCATTCTGTCTTAAAAAAGCGAGATTCATCGTTGCAAAATTGAAACTTTCCGGCAAAAAGCTGAACGCCGATTACGGCAAACATAAACTCAAGGAGGAAGGTAACCAGCATGATGTTTCCGATGCTCTTCACCGCGACTACCACACATTGCACAACATGCTATTGAAGGAATAAAGCAGAACTAACATTAGTTTCAGGGTATCTTTTAATAAAAACAGAAGCACCATGCATAAGGCTGTCAAAGGGAAGTACTAAATAATAAGATATATGAATTTCCAGAGTAGTTTTCTTCAGTGGCTGACGAACACTTGAATTCAGTGTGACTGAAGCCGACCAATTAATGTTTATGAGCGTGTTAACTTGTAGCAGTACAAAACTGACGTAACAAATGCTGATGTCGAATAAGATTTGGGTAGGACAATTCGATAGTTTTGGAGTGTGGCATGTAAAACATTAGCTATTATCCAAACATTAGTAGAGAATAGTTAACAAAATAACTAAATGGAAGAAGACAAATTTACAGCACATCTGCCTAAATCATGTCTTTATTCGGAGCTTTAATGACGAATACACAAAACGCGGCGTTATAAGATGCCGCTGCAAAATCCTTTCGGTGGAATTGTGGGGCAAGACTGCTTGCATTTAATGTACATAGGTTTGGTGATCCAAAATGTTTTTATGAAATAACTAACGCTGTTGTGTGAAAGGCAGAAGTAAAAGCGAGGTACCTTGAGGCCTTTGGCTCTGTTGATAGCTCGTAGTGGTCGAAGTACACGCGATACACGAAGGATCTTCACAACTGAGATCGTATCAAGACTAGAATGATGTGACAAATCGAAGGTATTAGCGCATTTGTTTTAGGAAATTACATCAAATTCCGGAGAGCCAAACTCAAAGGCCTCCTTACAGCTGTTGATGTAGGAGTTATAAGCCAAATAAAGTAAATGAATTCAGAAAGCTGGAAACACCTAAAACAGGTTTGCATTTGTAGGTGCATGCTCAATGTCTTAAGTGGCACTGGTGGTCGTTAGCTGTTAGCAAAAATAACAATGCAACAACGGCACTTGAACGTTGCAATGTCGTGTGACACTTGATACTTTCAAACCATTCAAAAATGCTGTTTTTTACACACTACAAAACACTAAAATTACAACAGAGACTTGCTTTGGGAACCTGACATCATTAGCGTACAATCAATTCTAATTTATATCTGTAAAATACTAAGATCAGTTTTGGAAAAAAAGACTGGTGATGGGCACGTGCATTTTCCCTGTAGATATGGAAATTTATTTACGTAATCAATCAATTTCCCAGTTTAAATTTAGATAATGGTTTTTTTCTCTTATTACAGTAAATGACAGTCTACGCCGAAGCTATATCAAGTGATTTTATCAAAAGAGCTTTCGGGGCTATTTGCTGTTCACATTATCGGTGAACGTTGTAGTGTGGAATTAGACAAATGCATCTGGCGTTACCATGGTAAAGCACTACACCTACATGAATAATTTTGAGCACCTCTTTTGTATATTAACGTAGCTGATGACAGCAACCAAATCAGTAACTGGACAACCTAAAATTTGGGAAAAGTCGAAAGGGAACAGCAGCAGGTTTTTAAAAGTCGATCGCTTCATTAAGAATTCATTTTACAAGTGTTTCATCAAAAGTAGACTCAGGGGACATTTTATTTATGTCAGAAATGCTTTCGTGTGGTTTTTTGTTCTTTTAAAATATCTAAAAACACTACTTTCAAATTCAAAACGTGCAAATTATCTTTGATACTAGCGCTTATTAAGCTTGTTGCTTGGAAGCAACGAGCCTTTTGTTGAATATTAAACCCAGACTAATAAATGCCTATTTTTATCATGCTCTAATACATTCTTAAGTTACGAAACAGCTATCAAAATCTGCACACACATTTTTGTAATACTGGCTGTCAAGTGACATCCACAATTGGCAAACATAGGCAAAGCTTATTTATTGTAAAAGACAATTATACTTTAACAAGGTAAATATTTTCAGAATATTTACTTTCACCAAGACAAAACAAGTATTCCCTACGACGCCAAGGGAAGTGGGAGGGGAGTAACTCACGCAATGGGGTAGGAAATGATGGACGTTAGTACAACCATCAAGTCAAGCAGATTGTTGGCGCTACGGCAGAATGCACCTTTGTGGAACGCAAATCCGTAGGTGATAACCTGAGTGTGCATATAAACGAAATATTAACATCACTCACACATAAAAATGTCCGAGATTAATGCAATATTTTGTTCAAAAATCTCGGTCCTAGGGTTTAATCTCAATTAAAAAACACGAAAATCAGGGTAAAAGCCAGCGTTAAGGAAGTTATTCATTATTAAGATATTTGGTAAAATCAAATAGACAGCTGGCCTTATTGACCGTTTTGGTTGATTTTGCATCGGTGCGAAACTGTCACAGCCGATTACAATCACATATCTGCTATAATTTACTAAGTAGTATCGAGAAATGTTTAGCTTACAGGGTAAGTCTTCTGGTCGCCAGAGCCTTGATTGGTATCTCAAGTGCCTTCCTAGACAGGCAAGTAATTTGTTCTACTGATGAGTCGCGTTGCATCAACAAATGCCATGTAACTCCTGGTCAAATTAGTGCTATTCTATTTATTAGATCTATAGAGGCCCAGAACGCAGAAAAACTGTCTGACACTATTGGCTACTGGTTGCTTGTGCACTTTTTTGGACCGTGTCAAAAATTCGAATAAATCAATGAACAATCAAATTAAGATTAATGACTTAAATTTGCTTTCCTGTTAGACGGTGTTAATTCCTACCCTAGCACTGATAAATTCAAAGCCAACTACATCAAAAGAAAATTTGTTTACCAATTCCTAGTCCTGCAGCATCTTAAATGATGGCTCATATTATTCCAAACAGTTAGTGTCTGTGTAATACTTGCAAAAAAACCTATGGACAATCAATGGCTGAGCACTCATACATAACGCAAAGGGTAGAGCCATCCTCAATTTTTAAGAAGATTGGGAAATGAAATATTTTGGTGTTCACAGAACGCCCATAATTTCCCTATTAATTAAGGTCCAAAATTTTTCGCAGATGGTTTATGCAGGAAAAATATGCGTGGTAACTTGCTACGGTATTCCATTAATTTGCTTGGTTTATGTCGTTTATATGGCCAAATAAAAGATGTGGTTCACTAGGATTAATTCCACCTGACATTTTATTAAGTGCCTACGACTATTTTTATCGTTTTGCAGTTATCACTAAAAGCGACCTCTTTAAAAATAATAGGTTGGTTTGTCTTTAAGTGTGCTGCTGTTGACCTACAGCACAAATGCCTAAAGTGCCTCATTTGAACTTTTCATGCCATACGCACACCTCTAAATTTAAAAAAAATGTTTCACATCTCAATGACATGGTTAATCATTTTCCCTAGACATGGTGAAAAACAGGAATCAAATCTATATTTACAAGTCTTGATTGCATTAGCTGAGCATTAAAATTACATCTAAAATGAAAAATGCAACACGCAGAAGGGATTTACAGTTAACAATTTCTTTGCCACTTCGTCTTGCCAAATTAAGCGAAAAGATTAGGTTGCAGTAAATTTACCTTTAATGTAATCTCCACTGTGAAAACCGAGGTAAAGAAGTAGTCAAAATAATTCAGGATCTAAAAAGGTACAAGGTCACGATAGTACGAATAACAAATTAACCCATTTAAGCGCTAAATCTAACAAGGAGAATTAAAAACTTATATTTTTTCTCACATGCGAATGGAATGGTTTTAAGTTCAAGAAAGTTGAGATATCTACTCAATCCTGTTGTTAGAATCAACTACACCAATAAATACACTTTAATTACCTTAACAATAAAGGAAATTCTACTTTTGAAATGAAATGTGTTAACTTCTACTTGCGTTTGAAGTTCACGTCTACTGCTGGTGAAGTAAAATAATAATATACGGTGGCAATCTTACGATATTTCTGTAGGAATTTGCTTTAAGGGGATCCTCTGCCGCCAGCATGGCGCTGCTGACAAGAATGCAGATGAGTACTACGTTGTTAAAGTAGGGGTGGTTGCAAATGTAATGACAAAACTGCCGAAAGCTACAACGTAAATAAAGTAATTACTCTTGTGTATCAAAATAAACACTTTTCAAAACAAATTGCTTGTCACAAGGCCGTTTGATAACCAGATTTTTCAGTAGTGCATGCGTATGTAAGAGTGCATGAAGGTAAAGCGACACCATGCATTTGATTAGGCAGTAAAAGTTAGTTATACTACCCAGCTTGTAAGATTGAAGCTATTTAACTAATACTTAGCTGTGATTGCTTCTAAGTCAACCTTATTTGATTACAGGTTTACATAATAAAGAACTTGCAATGTCCCACAAATAGTACAGAAGTAACGGCGTCAGGAGGAAAAAGCTAGTAAAATCTTGTGTAACATACTATTGGGGTGTCTAATTCAAATGAACTGGTCGAGGACAAAATTAAATCTGCTCAAAGTCTGTTACAAGTCTTCTGCGACCAAGAGAGCGTAGTTTTATTACTTAACAACCAGCCAACCAAACTCAAGAACTGATACAAGTGTAAAGTTTCCTTTTCAGATATATGGTCCTGTTGATAGAGGCTTGCATTAATAGATTTTTTACTAATTGCAACCAATTGAAACAACCTTTCGATCTGATTTTTGCCTTTGCAAGAACTAACTTTCGACGTTGTGAGGAAAATGCATTATTTCAGTCAAACGTATTTTTTATCTCAGGGGCCATAAGCCGAAGAATTTTCACGTACGTCAAATGGTTAATAGAATTTATTGCTGCAATTAATTTCAAAAACTCGGATGCAATATCAAAACGAAAATGCAAAAGCACCTATCATGTTGAATTATTATAAATTAGCACGCTTATTTGCAGTTCCTCATATCTAATAGCCAAAAACAAATATTTGAAATAACTAGTTTAAATTACTCTGATGCTTGTCCTGTGGCCCCAAAGTAGCATAACCAGAGGCCCTGTAAAACAGCAGTACTGGTAAATTTAAATCTCAAAAAGAGCTAGGAGATTAAAACTAACGGATTTCTGGGTCCAAATATGAAGAAGGAGGAAGCTTCAGGAATGGGCTTGATTTTTGGTTGAAGATTTTCAGCCGAACCTCGATGGTCTTCGGAATAAACAGAACCCAACTCGCTGTCTCTCTCCTCGTCACTTCCACAACCTTCCCTTTCCTGTGTCTCTATAACAGTAGTCAAATACCAATCATGTTCATTAAATTTGACAGCTTGGCTGAGTATCCTAGCAGTCCCAGGAGTCCAAGATATATGCTAATTAAAAACGTTTGAACTTACTTGCTTCACCAACAGTGTTGGAACTAAAAAGCAAGGGAAAGTTACCGCATAAATATAACAAAGAATTTGATTTTCTTTGTCATGGCAATGAACTAAAATCAAAAATTTGTGAATTTGAATATATAGCTGCCAATAGCTTTTCACGTAATACGATTTCAAGTAAACGTATCCTTACATCCACAAATTCAAACCAAAATTAGTCTAATAGGTGGAACCTTCTAGGATCTAAATGCACAAATATCATTTGCTAACTTGAGGATGGACGTCGGCGCAGGAAAAGATAAATGAGGACCTCAGAAACACATTCTCTTAATACTGATGAATCTGCGTTATTATCAAAAATTGGTAGATATGATAAGGTAGCTAAACTGTCGATAGACATTTTTGCTCATTTGAGCATGTGGTACAAAACTGGCCCTCGGGATAACAACTTTATTGGCGAAGTACAAAAATAACAAAAACCACAAAGTAATGAAAATTTTGATTATTTCTACAGTGTGGGAGGTTGGCACCAAAACAGCACCCGCTTATAGGTATTTTTTTAAAAAAAGGAGTGGCATAAATAAGAAAACCCTTACCCATTGAAGCAATCTTTGTTCGTTTAAAAAAATTATTTGATAAAAGCCACAGCACATTAATAAGAGCTATTTTTTTAAACAGAATCCCTTAAAAATTCATAACAAAACTGACAATAACATTTCATCAATCAGATAAATTGACCAAGAAAATAACAGGTTCAAATTAAATGAATTGCTGATGTTTAGTGCAAGCACAGACAGAAAAGTGCTTGTCGTTAAAGTTTATTTGCCTGCAAAACTTTATTTTTAATTGCTTAATAGTCACTAATACATAAGTGAGACACTTCGCTGAACCGATGATTAATTTGCTTTAGTTCTGCTGACATGATAAGTAAAATCTATTTCAATAAGTCTAGATACCCAGTAAAATATCTCCACTCCAAAGCCCAAAAAGAGATGCAATAGATCCGCAAATAAATACGCTTGATGAAGCGCTTGAAGTAACCAACGTCTTTCCTGCGCTTTGTCGTCTTTAAAAAGAACCTCGAGATTATGCCGCTTGTCACCTGAACCTTGAGCTTGCCGTGACCTTCCAAACGTGTCTATTGAATAGCAAGCATTGTACAATCCAAGTCCCATATCAAGTACACGTACTGAAGAAGGATGGTGTGAAAACTCTCAATATTCCACAGTTCCCTGTGTCCAAGATTGATGCCGAGATAACTGACTCACGGAGTCTACTCGGTAAGGGCAAAAAAGTGAATTTGGACCCACCCAAGACCCACAGCTCACTTCAGCGAATCAGACTACGTGGCAAGTAAATTCGAACCATTTTTAGTGCACGATCTACCACGATTCACAAGAACGCTAATCAGAAAACTCAAATAATTTTTTTTTATTTTGAGTAGTTGTCTTTTGGGAAAATCACTTCATCATGACAAAGGTATGCGACTTCAGGCTTATTACTTTTGTAAGCTAAGTGTCACACCAAAAACAGTCAGCTTTGCCAATACTCCATGCAACATTTGACGGACACTGTCATGCGAGCGCACGCCTCACTATAATGCTCCTGTTCATTAATTTTGACACACAGATAATAACTGCGTGTGTTTCTCCAGACAAACTTAATTTTATAATTAACAGACGCTTTCGATTCTTAGATTTTGGTGATAGGTCCCGTTATTGAAAGTATTCTAAGTGTAATTTACAAACGTCAATACGTTAGTAACTTCCCAATCATTTCCAGAAGAAAAAAGTTTATTTTCACTTAGAGATTAGAGATATCCACCAGCTACCAAAACACCAATCCATTAGATACATGCAAGCCCTAAGCGAATACCTCAGTACGAGGATGATGCTTCGATCGCCATTGACTGCTTGTATGTTTTTGCCCCTTACTTCCAGTTCTCTTCAACAAACATATTGACTCGATAACGCGTACAGAAACATGTAGTTTGAATTCTTGAACCTTGACATCATGGAAGCGTTCATATGCCATGGATGCATCATCCAGCTACCATAAATCTACAACTAAACCTTGATATGAATAAGCAGTTTGATAAGTATACTAGAGCAAAACTAATATCTGAAAACCAAAATCATCCAGAGTTTTAAAATGCATGCATTGCTGACTTTGTAGGAACTTGCCACATACAAATCCACAACTATTAAAATAAAATCCTCAATTTTATAATTATTCTCGCACTTTTAGTAGGTTTAACTTCATCATGTTTAATTTTAACTTTTTTGGTTTAGTGAACTTTTGAGGCGATTTAGTACATTACACTTGAGTGACGTTGAAAGCTTTTCTAAAGAGTCCATATCTTGCCTTTTCGATCCAGCAATGATAATTCTTCGGGTCCCTTACAATAAAACGTAGCACTGCCTGTGTTGTTATGCTTTTAAGTTTAAGTCTCAGCAACTCTCATATGTGGACTACAAATTCGTAAAAAGCATGATTTTATAAGATTACCGGTACTACCTACTTACTAGACCAATACTCTGTATGTTTGTCAGAACTCTTCTCAAGTCCGCCTTTAGGTGACCGGGAGACAGTCCCTAAAACAGCTCCTCTGAAAGTAGCACGCATATTTCGGTCTCCCTTTCCTTTCCAATACTTTTAATTACCTGAACACGTGTCTACCTTTCAACATTAGGTAGTTCGCAAGCTTTTTCCAAGCCACGAACTGGAAGGCAATCATTGTAACATTTATGTCACGTCTAGACACTGGTACCCCTGGAGCAAAATCCAATCAACTACTGTTCTGCAAAATTTTTATATTTTAACATTTAGTGAATACAGCAATGTTTTAGATGTATCAAGAACATCTTTTCGTGCGAAGAAATTTTTCACTATAGCCCTACAGCATTCTGAATTTTCGTGGAAGAATACTGGTTGGGTGCTTATGCTACTCGTTATATGCAAGATGCAAAACTAAGTGGGGCTTATTTGAGACCTATGTGGTCAAAAATCCCAGAGTTCTTATCCTTCGTCGCTTTAGATAATTGCATGTACTTCGAATTCCCGAAATTTTAAATACTTTAAGCACTAGCCGTTAAGCTGACGAGATAGTGCAGGTCTTGAAAGCCCATTATCCTCGTGGTAAGGCCTGGGGTAAATTGCAAATTACCAACCTTTACGCAATAAAGTTTTACCTCTCTAAATGCGCACTACACAGCGATTTAGTTGCGACATTCCTTTCGTCGTTTTCATTGGCCACTGGTTGTTTAGAAATGAGTCAATATCCCGCTAAGGGGAGTTCGTGTGGAGGGATTCAGAGAATTAGAATGCGTACAAAAGTGGTCTTAACCTATTGTAAAATTTATTAAAAATTGATTTAAAGTTTTTTTTGAACTGGATTAGTATTCCAGAAAAAAAACTTCAGTTGCCATTTCATGCATTGGGCGTTCCACATAACTCCATTTGGCTATTCCAATCACGCAATTTACGCCTGTTCTGATATTGTGGCTGCTTGTTTTAACGCATTTGAGTATTAGTCAGGAGTATTTCTATATGTTTACCTAGAATTTAGTTTTTGTCCAAGTGTGATTACTCCGTTTCCTGTGCTGCTTTTTTCATCCACTTCAAACTAGCTTTTTTGATAGCCAAGTTGAACCTTTTGCACTGTCCACCATAAAATACACAAGTCGCTAGAATAGTACAGGCAATTACTTAAAACACTGATTTATGCAAATGAAGGTCTAAAACCACTGATAATGATCTTAAGAAACAATTTGCCTTCTGAACAAAGACTGTCGCTTTGCAATGGTTTACGTTTAACCTAAAGAAAATGACTACTGTTGATAATCTACGAAACGTTTTTACATCTAAACCTGATTGCTAGACTTTGGTTCTTTTGTATAGATGAACACATCGAAATAAGTTACGTCTAAGGCAGCAGAAGCAGCTTGAAGCACGCCCTGTCTCTAATAGTAGGGACGTGCGTGTATTATTCGGATTAATCCTTTGCATTGGGCTGCTCAACAAGCGGGCAAACTCCAGTTGACCATCAACGAGCGTGATGGGTCTTTTAGACAAAGGGACAAGCAAGAATGACTTGGTAAATGTTACAATTAGTGAGCGTAATGTTCCTTTCCAGACCTTAATTCGTACACACAAAATAATGTAATGTTTGGAATAAAAAATATTGGAGAATTTAGCAATCCGTTAAAAGAAGCGCCTATATGCGTAAAAAACTAATTGAAAATTTTGGATTCGTAGTATTATTGGTACGTACTACAAGATCGGATTTATTAATGTTGAAAAATGCCAATCAAACTCAGGTTGCAATTGCTTGCAAAATCCATTATTTGAAATAAATACTGTGGTGAAAATATATTCCTCTCAAATAGACTAAACCGTAGGAAACTTTCAAGAGAATTAAATGTAGCAGTAAAACTTTGCAGCAGGCTTTCTTTAGGCAAATGTTGGGTTTTTATCCAATTTGTTGTAAAATTTTTAACAATTTAAATTTTAGATTTGGTTTTGTCCCTAATTCTACGGTTTAATTATAGAAATTGGGAAACAGTGCTTGAATGCAATTACTGTCACTTACAACGACTACATGAAGTCATTTAAAGAGTTTATTCACCAAAAAAGGTATCTAGAATAGAATTCTTGGGATGTTGGGTTCGTGACGGGTTTTGCGTCATTCGCATCATAAGATACCATGAAAAGAATGCCTCAGTGACTAAACTGATCCAGTACTCCCAAGATTTCTGGGATTACAACCGGGTTAGCGCAAAGCCCTCCTTAACCTTTATCAGCAAATGTGGCTCTTCTTTGCAGCAAACTTAAATAAACCACTTACGTTCACAGGTTTAAATATTTGAAACACGTTGTGTTGGGATAATCTTTCGGAGGGAACAAATAAATCTTACCGGTAAACACATCGTAGCAGGTGGCATGCAGCTTCCCTGAGAATAGCTCAAGTCCTACGATAGCATACATTGTTATCACAAAGATGACCAAAAGCGCTATGTGTAACAGAGGCACCATTGCACGGATAATTGCATTCAGCACAACCTGAAGACCTAAAAAAGAGATTATCCAGGCTTTATAATGATTTCAGTAATGACTATTTTCAAAAAACCGTTCTGGCTTTCAGATGTCAAAGCCTTCCAAGCGGAATACGATGAGCTTAAAAATGCCATCCCACGGTAATCACCCTTCTGTTCCTTCCACAAAAAACTGGAGATTTAATGATGGTTCCAAAAACACCAATTCACATCCGATCTGCGAACGGTGTTGAGCCACTGGGGGAATATTTGCAGTAATATCTACGAACATGGGAATTATCTACACCCCTGAGAAGCATTCTACAGGGTCCTGTATTAATCCGTGATGCATTAGTGAATTTATTTTCTTACTTGACAGCTATTCTCTGCAAAGAAATAAGTAGGCTAGCAGAATGTATTCTTGATAACGGTAAACAATATTAAGTGAAATTCAATAGGTCGGTCGTCAATTCAGTTTACTTCGTCCTATATCTAATATCCTTTCTACATTGATTTTCTGGAAGCCAAATTTAGCGACGATATTATTTAAATTAAGTTAACGCTTAAAGTTTTCAAGGTTTCACATGGCCCAAAGTTCAATCATGACGAAATTAAAGAAAACTATAGGCTACGAACTAGTTTTCGCTGTTAAACCAGCTTTACATTGAATCGAAATCACCCGTGTTTCATTCCTCTTGAATTTGACAAGAGCAACTGATATAACTCTGTCGTCCTACAAAACGGCCGCCATCAGATCCTCTTACCTATTGGAATGACTGTTTCAATGTACTACTTTGTACGAAGTGCAAAAGAATAATTAAGCATAAAAAGCATACTTGGCAGCCCAGACACAAGTCTAAGAGGTCGAAGTACACGAAATGCTCGAAGAGCTTTCACATCCACACCTGATCGATCCAACATTTTCTGAAGCAATGGCTGCAACAAGCTGTCAGGGATCAAAAGCAAAATACCAGTAAACAAATTGAAAGCAGCAGCAAAACACGAGTAATATATGCAATCGTACTAAAGTGACTCTAGTTTATGTCTAAGAGGCACAACGAAAATTTTGCTGTAGGTTTAATGTTTAAGCTCTCACGAAACTAAGCCGGTTTGTAAACCAGTGTAAGTAAATATAAACACGCTAATTTTTTTTACATACTCAATCAGAAAAGAATGATGCGCCAGCAGGTGAGGTGGAACGAGGGTATATTAAGATTACATGAAATTTGTCCGTTAAATAGATTTTTGGCTTAACATTTGAGCGGCAAGCCTAATTTATATCCTATGCGGCATAATAGGTATTATCCGCTGCCATTTGAACAAGTGCTTTTTTCCGACGCTATCTATAGCTGTTTGACCATGTCATTTGGTTATCCAGTGACCATGGTCAGCATGTACTCAATTAAATCGTAAGTGGTCAGAGCTGGTATCTAAAGTTATTAAACGAATGGCATAGCTATCAGGCACAACTGAAGGGAACTAGGTGTATTTAATTGCCTAGTTTTTTTAGTGTATGAATACTTCTTAGTGCCAAATTGTGTGTCAGCCTTTTGTAGGCTTCCGAAGGACTATCGAACCTGCAGAACTGTTGAACAATGGAACACAAATAATAAGGAATATTATTTCCCTTATTCTGGAGCTCACTGCAAATGTGGGGTCAAATATGCGGAAAGAAGATTTAAAAGAAGTTTCAACGGAAAAAATATACGAGCGTGTATCTCTAAATGTAATCCATATTTTTAAATTTTACTTGCTTACAGAGACCTTAGAATGAATGATACAAAATAACCTTTACTTTTAGTGCCAAATTTAGCGAAGCCCAAGCTACTTTTGATTCCGACTCAGTGGTCTGCCTCATTGTAATGTTCTTATCTACCTTTTTAGTTGACTAACCTATTTCATAGTCAGACCCAGAAGTTGTGTTATTGCTGGGAGTCATAATAGCTAATTTCAAAAATGCAACAGCTTTGTTACATGAGTAAAGTCTAATGCAGTTTGGTATTTGAGTGCTGGTTGGGCAGCAACGAAAACTTCATGGTACATTAATTGACCATGCTGCACAAAAGCCGCATACATGGATCTCGGGTGAAGGTCTGAAGCTGAACACATGCTAAGCACCTTTCAGATAAGAGTTTGCAAAGATGTCCCTTTTTTCCAAGGAGTTTTAATGTACAATGTGCATGAAGTTAACCTAGGCCTTACCCCAGACAAACGATACTGAAATCGAGGATGTTCCAGCCGTTCCTGAGGTATGCGCCTGGGTGCATAACGAAGCCAAGAGCTATTATCTTCAGGAAACACTCAATAGTGAAAATCACGATAAACACGTTCTCTACTTTCTCCTATGCAAAGCAAAAACAGAAAACACTCAAACATATATTCAGAAACGCACAAACCATCTCTACCATCTCTGACCATGCAAAGTAACAGTACCTGCAGCACTTCGCTTCCTGCATCCAATGCTTGGTTTAACGTTAAAGCGTGAGACTTTGAACTTCGCTGAATTTAACATGTTAGTAGCAAGTTTAATTCAGGAAAGTAATTCAGATTCGCATTTTAGATGCGCAATTGCACAAATAATGGAGACAAATAGTCTATCGAGCAAATTTCATTCATCGATGATTAGATTTTTGCACAAATAGCTTGCACAACATCTCTAAGATTACATTGCACTTTATCACAGTGACTATTTGATAAAAACAATATTTTTCAGCCTAATTTTACAAAGTTACACTTGTACTATGCCTTAATCATTTAATGGGCGCTAAGGAGGGATCTACGCTGCACCAGTTGAAGAACGGGTGTGACCGTATTTTGTAGAGCGCGGTTTCGTGCGCAATGACACTTACCAGTATGGAATTGGTGCCGTTCGAATCGCCATCTGGATAAGGAGTATGAGATCCCAGTGCAAAGCAATTTCCAAGGATCGTTATTAGAATAAGGTATTCAAAGGGCCTGTCAAGAGATTAATACAAACACGTTTGAGCAAATCTGAATAGGCAAGAATTTGGCCCATAGCTGACTCTTAAGAGACTGGTCTGTAAAATTAATAGTAGAGTTTACTGTCGCCAAAAAAATCCCTATCATACCTTCTCCAAAGAACGTCATTAGAGTTAATCTACACTTTGTTAAAATGCACGACAGTTTAGCCAAATTTTAAGTTGATATCCCGATGTCCGTATTGATACAACCACCACAGCTGGGTATTAACCCTCTTTTTAACGTCCAAAGATCCTAATATATCATTGACCGCACATACGAGACACCAAGAAAGGTATTTTGGATAAACGTCGATGCATGATCAACAACACTAAGTAATATATTTCATTACTTCCACTCGACGATGCCAATACACATCTTGCGGAGAGGGTTACGCAAACCAAGGCAGAATAGTGCTCTTTGTGGTCTTGCTCCAGCTGCTTGTGCTCTAGTTGTAGGTCGTTTGCGTGCATTGGTCTGGGCTGCCAAAGCAAGATTTGTCAAATTCAGCGGTTTTCCCTGTTGTGTAGCAGCCGCGGCAGCGACACCAGCTATGCCGCTCAACGTCGGCGTGCCGCCTGCACGAATGGAAGCGCCCAGGGAGCCAACAGCATCATGATTCGGCTGCAGCTGAGACGGAGAGGATTCTGGTGGCACAGAAGGAGGACTGGTTGAAACCGGGAGTTCGATTCGCGGAATAGTGATGTGGCCATGGTCGGTGGAAGACCTGCTCTTTTCATTATCTTCGTTAATGTCTTCCTCACTGGAATACGTAAGGGGAGGTTGGGTGCTACTTAGTGTGTGGTAGTTGTATCCATCATCGTCACCTGCGTGACCGTGTCGGCGGCCATAGCTCTGCATTTCTGCTGGAAAATAACAAAGATATATATAAATATATTGATGGAATTTTGATTTCTGGGTGCACGAATACACATTAAAATTCCGCAAAAACATTTAACAAACAATCCTAAGTTGCGCATGAAAAAATTAAAAATCTGAAAACTCGTAAATCCACCTACACGAAAATGTTCAACCAAATACTTTTACAGCGTATGGTGATTACTAAAGCTATTTTATAATAAATGCGTAGGCTGTTTAATGGTTAAATTGGAAGTCGCCAAATTCTCGAAATTGGAAAGTAGCAAAAAGTGAATATGCGTTC